CATGCCCTCGAGATTTAAGTCGGGGTCCAAGCAGAAGAAAGGATCGCGTGGAGCAGTAGCGGACGATTGTTGGTCTGTCTGTGAAGACAACGTTTGATTGGAAGGAAGCCGACGGCGAAGTAGATCGGGGAATACTCTATACAGCTGCAGGAGGCCTGTACAGCGGTACACCTCAGCCATGGTGAGAAGATGCCAAACTGGTGTCTCTTCGTCGCCAGGACTGACGATTTCACCCTCTGTAGGATGAGCAAGGCCAAGCAGCCTTTCTTCCAGCTCTCGAGCCCTCGTAATGGCCATCTGCGCTCGGTCGATGTCTGCCTGAGAGGTGAAGTTCCTGGTGCGAACTCTCTTCCTCTCTGCGCGAATTAACCTTCCTACTTCTTGTACGGTGAACTGGGTATCGCGGGCAATCCCTGTCCAAGGATGGGGCACTCGCTGCAGGACGACTGATTCACCGATTCCCGAGGCAGATTTCCCAGACAACACGGCCGAGTCGTCTGCGACAAACGACAGAAGCATCTCCCAGTAGACGAGAGCCTCCTCGAAGAATTGGTAATTATTACCGCAATTATGACTTGCAGTTTCGGCGGCCTTGACATCCAGATGCTTGCGAAGGAGGTTGAAAAAGGAGACGCCTAAATCTTTGGAATCGTGCCAACTAGCGGTTTGGCCCAGCATAAGCAGAGCCAACAGGGACTTGTCGTCCATGGTAGTCTCCTTGGAAATGATCTCCACTGCTTCGTTGCGCATGCGTTGTCCCAACGGGCCGAATTCTGGAAAGTCGTTCACCAGGGTGGCTGCTGCCATGCTTTGCATAGTCTTGCACATGGCCAGAGAGGAGCCCCAGAGACGTGATACAGTCGACCGGAATGGGTTCATCTGACTATCATAGCTAGAGAACAGAGCAGCTACCTCTTTGAAGTAATATTCAATCAAAGTCCAAGAGGGGTTGTTCAACGTTTGAGGAATCGGGGTGAAATCGTGCAAAGGCGGCTTTGGATGGGACGAGGAATACGTGCGGATGATCGTCGAAGGCGAGAAACCGGAAAAATGATGAGAATTATGCTGCAGCTCTGATCCTGCTGATGAAAAGAAGGTTGTGAGATTCGTTGGCGTTCCGAAGTCGAGCACGGAGCTCTCCCGTCGCGGCACTGATATCGGAGGCGATGCTGACGCTGGAGATGGAGGACAAAGATCTGTCAACTCAGGAAGAGAGCCTGTGCTCTGGAGATCCCATAAATTATCACACAAGACACTTCCGCCATTCGCTTCCAATATTCGTGTTTCAGATGGTTCATGTGGGCGGTTCGAATTCAGATTGCTCCTATCTAAGGCCAACGGGACCTGCGGCAATGAATTGATGAAGACCGGCGATTTGGGTGAAGTTGACGGCCGCCGATCTGAGGATTGAATTGATCTGGATGCGGATGCTTCAGATATGCTCGTTTGATCATTGTCACGCTCTTGAAACTTGGTTACCCAGCGCAAAGATTGAACATATCCGGGGCACTTCACTCCCAAACGGATACATCGGCTACAGTGTGGTTTTTCTTCCCCACATTTGACCTATCATCCTGTTCAGTGATCCTGATAAATTATCGCAGTCACAGAGTCGAGGCTCTACGTGACGGGCATATGTTGAGGATGCACTCACCCTTTTGCTCTTACACCTAGCACAACCGTTGCGGGACTTTTTGACTCGTCGCATAACGATTCAACCTCATCGGCTGAGACAACAATAAAGCAGATAGGTTGTCATCGAGAGATGTTGGAAGTTGGAAGAATCTTCAAACTCCCCATTACCGCTCAAAGTAGAAGCAAGTCATCTGGACAAGATAATAGATGCCGAGAGCGTGCGGGGAAACCCTGAGCTTATCAGCAGGCGGCGCCCAATTAGAGACTGGTTGGGACGTTTGCCTGTTTGGGGCAAAGTTGAAGGCTCTCCATGAAGTATATGAATCATAAGGTTTCTCAGGACTATCCATGTCGATTCATTGATCCCCTGCTCTCGGGAAGTGGCAGGAGTCCCTATGGTTGGAACTAGCTGCATGATTGAGACCCTTTGAACTGATCAAACAACAGGTCAGCATTGCTACTTCCACAAAAGACGGCGTTTGTATCAAGAGATGCTTGAAGACTGCTGCAAAAAGCAGATAAGGCATCCAAAGCATGGAGTACGACGCCTTTCAGCGCCGCGTGGCGGATCTCTTTCATCTCAGCTACCAGAAACGTACATGACCACGAAGTAAGATGAAAGCTCGTTGTTCTTACCAGCCTCGAGGGCTCCATGGCAACTCGCTTGACATGACCTATTTCTGTATATGTATATCAAATTCAATGGTTAGAACAAAGAAGAATGATCAGATGATTTGTGGCTGTGGATGAGGAAGCAAAGAGGACGAAAGGAATGGATGTTTGATATTGTTGTCTTGATATTGTTCGGGGGATGGCCGCCTGAGGCTGCCACAACCCCACTCGATTATCTTATCGTGTATTTGAGGAATTTCCTCCTTACTACTCCGCACCGCCCTCTTCACTGGGATCATTTCTACTTGTTGTTACATCTGCCTTTTAAATACGATTATAGACGCTGGCGATCTGGAAGCAATTGCTTGGTCACCAATTTCTGACGAGGGGGAACCCACATTTTCTGTGGGAAAGGACTGTGGACACTGTGAGCACAGTACCATCGCTCTTCTCCAAGCAAAGATCAACACGACCCTTTACGGGATACTTCACTTTGATTGACTATTTCGCGTGCTTCCGCATTAAAGCAAAACTCTAATATTGTCAGGGCGTTTTGGAGCTCGTTCCCGGAGAATTCCTTGTTGACAGTTGCTCAGACTCACAACAATCATTATCCCGTCCCAGCATGGAGGGAAAATACTCGTCCGATCCAGAGTGGGCATCTATCAAGCCCATTGAGCTCAATGATGGCAGCGAATCCGGCGCCATGCCGTTGGCCACCATTTCCTATTCCCCAGAATATCTCGAGGCTACTTCTTACCTGCGAGCTGTAATGGCCGCCAACGAGATGTCTGAGAGAGCCCTGAGACTGACAGGAGACATCATCTCCATGAACCCAGCGCATTACACTGTCTGGTGAGATCAGACTACAGTCCTCGCCGCCTTAAAAACGTCTTCAAAACGACTAATATCTTTTATGTAGGATATACCGGGCTAAGATTCTTTTCGCCCTAGGAAAAGATCTCAATGAGGAGATTGAATGGCTCAATAGAGTCGCTTTGAAGCATCTCAAGAACTACCAGATATGGTAAGTATTAGGCTCTATTACACCTTGCATCCCATCCGTCTGACGCACTTCCACAGGCACCACCGCCAAGTTCTCATGTCTTCGCGGGCTCATTTCCCAGCTCTTCCGCCCAGAGAGCAGGACTTTCTGATGGAGATGTTTGCCCAGGACGCCAAGAATTATCACGTCTGGACATACCGCCACTGGCTCGTCCGACATTTCAAGCTCTGGGATCATCCGCGCGAGATCCAAGACGTGGAGACGCTCCTGAAATCAGACGTCCGGAACAACTCCGCCTGGAACCATCGGTACATGCTGCGCTTTGGACCGCGTGATGAAAACGAGTTTGATGCCGGTCTACATAATACCACGGGGCCATCCTCGGAAAAAGGCCGCCTGCCAGTGGTCGACGAGGATCTGGTCGACTCTGAGCTGCAGTACTCGCAGGCTAAGATACTCAAAGCTCCTGAGAACCGCAGTCCATGGTCGTACGCGCGCGGAGTACTCCAGGCAGCCGGCAGACCCCTTTCTGAATGGAAGGATTTTGCCCGGAGATTCGTGGTCGAAAAGCAGGAGAACGGTCAGGTGGTGGATGTTGTGGTCAAAAGTAGCCACGCTATTGAGTGGTTAGCGGATGTGTACGCGGAGGAAGACGGAAGCGAGGAAGGAAGTGCAGCCGAGGCGGTCAAAATGCTCACTCTCCTCAAGGAGAAGTACGACCCTATCCGGAGGAACTACTGGGAGTATCGAATCCGACAGATTACGGTGTCGGCGGCACATGCTACGGAGGTATCTGCGTCCGCTTGATTTGAGATGTTTCTCTTGCGATATTTCGAATACTCTTCTTTGTATTACTTCTACCTAGCTGTGTTCAGTTCTTGGTTTTCCATGTACATAGTTTGTGATTCTACAGCGGTTTTGGTATTATGTTCCGTTTACAGAGCGACTTGCAGCGTTTAGGGCCAGGACGTGTGTCTTATACGTAAGCAAGGGCGCTGATAGTGTGTCTGGGAGACAATCGAAATACACAAGAAGCTATTCATCTATTGCATAATTTTCAGAAGAAAAAATCTACCTGAAACAGAACAATGTATAGCATCCAAAGGCCTAAGCTATCTACTGACCCAAAGTAGGTTGAACCTGGCCTAGGCCTGCCTTATTTGAAGATGGCTGCGACGGAGGACACGGAAGGAACCCTTAGTTGTTGGAGCGAGTCCAGCTGGACTACGCACCTGGTTGTCATATGATGCTCCCGTTAATATACAACGCAGCCCAGCAGAGATGTCACAGTCGGGTGCCTGATCGGAATAATCAAACTGTAAAGAGTTACAGAACGAGGAAGTAAGTGAATAAACGAAAGAAGAGAAGGAAAAGAGGAGAGAAAGAACGGCAAAAGACGGAGAGAGAAAACGAGCAGGGCATCTCATCCTGCATGTTCCAATTGGGCAGGTCCGTCTCACGTCGGCAGCTCCAACTTCAAAAAAGGAAATCCATAGTAACGCATTGATTAATCCTATCCTACCCTGTGTATTAAAGACAGAGGTGGAAGAAACGAGGTCGTAAATGGCCTCAGTAGCAGTCATTTCAGCGTAAAATTCACAAATCCTCCATTCTAGCATGTAAAACGATCCCAAGTACTCCAAGAAATCCAGGTCCCATAGCCATGGCATAAACGAGTTCGTCAAATCAAAAAAGCGTATCCGTTATTAAAGGGCATATTGTATATACTGTTGTGGGAAGAACTGGTTTAGGCACCCCAGCCCTCCTGCAACATCTTTCTCCACTCTGCCGCCATGTCGATGGTGACATTGCTGCCTCCGCAGACGATGATCACCACTCGACTATCCGGTTGCAGGTTAGGGACCAATTGCATCAGTTTGGATTGGAACTCGTGCGACGGCGACAGAGACGGCGACGGCGTATTTTCGGTAGGATGTGCTTGAGGCTGGCTGCCTGTCTCTTCCGACTCCGTTTCGGTTTCTCCGGACGACAGTCGGTCATCGCCGTACCCTTCATCCCGCTGGGGGAACTCCGTCTGTGTCCTCTTCCGCTTCTTCCCTGCCAGGCCTGCCTGCTCGGCTGCCAGATGTGTGCTTGCTGATCCCGAGGCGCGTGCCTTGGCCGCATCGCCGATGGCTGCCTCGACGCAGACACCGCATGCCAACTCCACCAGTAGTCTTTCATCATCCGCGAGACGCAGCACGCCTCGAGCGGCATCGGCATCTGAGAGGACAGCAGTGTGCACAGCAATGCCAGGTGGAGGGGAGATGGCGTATTTGAATGTACGTTCTGAGACGCGGATGGCGCCCAGCGAGGTAGCTTGGGATGTGATCTTCGGGAGGGAGATGAGGGATTTCTGGGCGACAGCGAGGGCAAGGGAGTCTGTGCCTTGGGTTTCGACGGCGAGTATGTGGATGGGGTCTGGTTGAGAGGATGTGATGCCGTTGCTGTAGTGTGAGCTCTGATTTTGTAGATGTCTCCGTCGCTCTAGGCCCATGATCAGACCATTAAGCAGTCCGCCGCCGCCAACACTGCAGATCACCGCGTCCAGTGGCAAAGGTCGACCATTGTAGGCGATAGCTTCTTCTCTGGTTGTTACGGGCGGCAGCTGAGCAGCGAGCTCATCGATGATCGTGCTGTTCCCCTCCCAGATGGGCTCATTGTCGAACGGATGGAGGGCAATCTTGACCACATCTTTCCCGGCGTCTTCGCCATCTGCCTTCATAATCACCTCGCGCATGTACTCCCCAGCTTCAGAGAATGTCTCGCCGTACTGGATAACGTCCGAAGCGCCCGCCGCACGCAGTTTGTTCACCATCAAGGGCTTCGTCGAGACAGGCACGACCACGGTGCAAGGATAACCCAAGCTCCGGGCAGCACAGACCGCAGCAAGGCCGGCATTGCCCCCCGAGGAAGCATAGAAATGCACCGGCCGGCCAGCGTTTTCCGGCTTGACGAGGTGCGAGAGGATCTGGTTGCCCATTGCACGGGATTTGAAGGATCCGCTGGGCTGAATGTTCTCGAGTTTCAAGAAGATTCTACAGCCTGCCGCACGAGACAGACAGGCGGATTCCACAAGGGGAGTCTCAACCCATGGCATCTTGAAGCTCAGCTTCGCTTCCTCAGGTGAGATGCTGCCCATGGTGCAAGAGCGGGTATGCACTTCTTCTCAAGGGACCAGGGAAAAGACAGAGGAGCGCAGTTGACAAGTATTGTATACAGTCCAATTCGTAGCTGTGATGGTAGTATTATAAACAGAGCAGAGTATATGAGGTATCAAGGAACGCAAAAAAAGCCGGGGAAAAAAGAGAGTTCTAGTATCACACTGGAGAATAGAAGCCAAGATAAAACAAGAGAGAAATAATACAAGCCAATTCCTGCTTATCCATGATCTATATGACTCCAAAACACCAGTTCTTCTGATATACATTAGGGTATACTTCCCGAATACTATGATAGGAGGTTTGCCGCGGGAAAGGGCCAGGGTTTTCCGTCCGCAAGGCGTTCGGGAATTCAACGTCGCGATTCTGGAACACTTTTTCCCGCTGATAACCTTGTGGACAAGCGTAGGAGGATCCAGAAGCCGTACGCCATGACATAACACAAACCTTGTCTCATCTATACATGGCGATGATCGTGTAGTCCTGTAACCCAGCTCCACTGGCAAGTAACGGAAAAGTGTCTTACTTAACCCTTGCATTGGCGGAGAAGCAGAGAATCATCACCTTTCTGTATGATTGGACTGTGATCCTTTCTTCTTATCAAACGAAAACTCATTTTCTCATCATTCTTCAATAATGAGAGGCGGGAAAAGGATACTCTTTTTGACACCCTCACCGTAGTCCGGATCACAACCATAGTGTGCAGCCGAAAAGCTCCGTTTCGATGGCTCCGTCTTGTCTACACGGAGAATATCGAGAAGTTCGTTAGACTTACTGGGCATAAAAGGTTGCAATAGGATACCGGAAATTCGTAGGGACTCGGCGACATTGTATAGCACTCGCTGCGACTCGGCTGGAGTTTTCCATGGCTCTGCCGCGTGGAAATACTTGTTTGTCTGCGATTAGGATAACAAAAGCGATGTCAGTCTGAGATAATCGTGTCTAGTCGTTGTGATATGGACTCTCAACACTGACCTTCTCGATAATCACCATGATGTCCTGCAAAGCTGCACGGGGGTTTAACTTTTCCATTTGTTCCGCCACTCTATCAGGTGTCTGCTCCAGGAGCGATTGATGCTCCAGATCTTCGGGCGTCGGCGCGGGCAGCTTGTCGGCGGCTGCATCCGCAATGTACGATCGCAGGTTACCCTTTGCACAACCAATTGTACGGTGGGTTAGGTTTCCAATACCCCATTGGAGCATCTTCTTGTAATCACGAATAATGTAGGAGTTATCATAGTCGGCATCCCCCGCTAGTCCACCTTGGAAAGCAAGGAAGAAACGCATGGTATCGACGCCAAACCGATCAATCGCGAAAAAGGGATTCACCACATTCCCGGTGGATTTCGACATCTTTTCCCGGTTGATGGTCCAGTGGCCATGAATGAGGACCCTACGAGGTAGGGGCAAATCCAATGCCATGAGGAAGGCGGGCCAGTAGACGCAATGGAAACTGACACGGCTGTCAATCTTTCGTCCTGCCCGTCACGCGGAAGAATAACTTACCGGACAATATCCTTGCCGATGACATGCACATCGGCTGGCCAACCTAGTCGGCCCTCCTGACCAGGAGGAAAAGGGTACCCAGCCTTAGTCAAATAGTTGATAAGGGCGTCCAGCCAGACATAGATCGTTTGTGTCTCATCGCCCGGTACAGGAATGCCCCAGGTCAATCGCTCTACGGGCCTAGAGATCGACAAATCCGATACTCCCGAGGAGACTGACTTAACGAGGTCTGTCATATAATTACCAGGCGTGACAAACTCTGTACTCTTGTACAACTCCAGAAGGCGCTCCTGAAAGGCAGACAGTCTGAAGTGATAGTTGGTTTCCGACGACCATTCTACCTCTTTTCCTGTCTCAATTGAAACCTGGCACAGTGAGTGGTTGTACATCTGATAACATCCAGCTTCTAGGACAAAATACCATTCTCTTCCTTCCAGTAGAGGGATCCAAGGAGTTCTGCACTTGTGTCGGGGGATAGAATGTTTCGTCGCTGACAGAATACCATCCCTCATGTTTTGCAGTGTAAATATAGCCCCGGTGGTTTAGCATTTCCTTCCCATGGTCAGCATGCGGAGCAGAAAGTTAGCAGCATTTTCGACGAACCCAGAAGTATTGAACAGCTTCCTTGTGCGCAGGGTCGGTCGTTCGTATGAAATGATCGTAATCAACATTTGCGGCTTTTGCTAGCGCCTGAAACATATTATCGCAAATTTAGGTAGAGGCCCTCGTAAGAGTTTACAGAAAGAGCGCGACCGACCTGAAAGGTTTTGCAGTTCATATCACAAAAGGCTTGAGGGTCCATGCCTGCCGCGCTCGCGGCCTGCTGAATCTATTTCACCAAGTTAACCGCGTGAGACAGCCCCAGATCAGGCACCAGGAGATACCTTCATTCCGTGTTCGTCGGTTCCCGTCAACAGTTGAGCATTTTTGTCTCCAAGTAGTGCCCGCCATCTCTTCAGAATATCGGTGATCACCATAGTATAAAAATGACCAACATGGGGGGCTTTCAGAAAATCGATCCCATCAGTACAAATGCGACGCTTGGGGTCCGCATAGAGTTTTGATAGAGGCTCGTACCGGCATTCACATAGAATATTGGAGTTGTCACATAGTACGGCTTCTTCGAGCCTTGCTCAGAAGTCGCTGTCGCGAATCGGCGCGCCGAAATGGTTTGAGTAGGACTTCTGCACAGAGCACATCTCCACAATGGACGCCTATGAGCTACAAATTGACTGGCCCATGAAAGCGTACCGAGTCGCCCCTTAGAAAAAGCCATTGGGAAGCAATAGTCACATGGAAAGATGAAGTAGTTTATGGATAACACCTTCACGCTGGATGACTTCTCGGAGCTCGATAATCTCCGGGTGGTCCTAGCTCCTCCGTAACTTTTTTTTTCCCTCTTCAGTCCGATTTCCAATACACTGCAATTTTCAACCTTTGCATTTGTTAACGCCGGTCTCTCTCCTCAACCCGATCTATTTGGGACCTTGAACCTCTACAGTCCCTCCAGAAGCTTAATACCGTATAGTCAACGTTTGTGTCGCGCGTCTCGCTGTCGTATACGAAATTGTTGTCGCGTGTTCCATCAACCAAAGCTCGCGGAATCTGCATCCTGATTAACATAATCAATCTGTCGTCAAAATGACTACTCGAAGTGAAGATGTGCTCACAAGAGTGTCAACTGATGGTGCGTTGGGCCCTACCAACGTCGTCGTTCCTCTCTGACTGTGTCTTTCCAGCTACTACTGAATTTGTCCAATCCTTCTACCCCGCGCTACAGTCCAATCGCGCCGCAATCGCTTCATTTTACAGCCAGCCCACCTCTACCATCCTATTCAACGGAAACGCTGTCGCGGATGGCAATGCCGTCCAAGAAATCTTCGTCAACCAAATGCCCCCTGCTCACTACGAGGTGCAGTCGTTCGATTGTCAGGTCATCAATCCAACATACCCCACGCCAACAACATCCGGCGTGAAGCTCCCCAATCAGACGACTGTCAAGGACATGTCAATATTGGTGGTAGTAAGCGGCTATGTACGATTTGGGGAGTCCAGAGATCTACCGCAGCGTGGCTTCAGCGAAACCTTCATTCTGGTACCGAATCCTACCGCGGATGCCCCCAAAGGAAAACGCCGGAGAGAATGGCTTATTCAAACACAAAACTTTCGACTTGTCGTTTGATTAATGCATACTCCGAAGAGGCAACGTGGTTACGTCCGACATATCAACTTTTTCGACAAATCACTCACAACACAAGCATCGCCTATTCATCCATATAAGGCACGCGCACTAGGTATCTCTGCTGGTTTGAAGTACCAAATGATTACAAAAGAACGCCACGAAAATACAGAAGCTGCTCAGAACAACATTCGTGTGTCTCATAAAACTCAGGTGGTCGATCTCGGCGGTACGCGCAGATTCGCTTTGACACGCTCGAGTAATTCGTCGCGTGTGGCCTGTTCAGTGGGCAGGAGAGCTCTCTGCAGATCGCTGCCAGTTAGTTGGTACATCCTTGACGAGAGGAGCGCAACGTACATTGCGAAGCCATCTCCGCATCTCGTCGGCAGTCCAATATTCAGGATCTTCTCAGAATCGCACAGTCAGCCTCCTATTCCGGTATGGCAATGGCCCCGAGTTGCATACCTCCTGTTGGGTCTGGCTCGGACGGGAACATGTCGCTACCCCAGATTGCCCACGCTGCGGCAGCCGTGACCATCCCGGCGAAACCTACATCCTCTCAGTTTAACTCGTGAACTCAATGTGTGCGCCGCCAGGAGAAGTTACCCAGGACAAGATTCTGGATATGTGTCAGCAAGTTACCACTAGTTGAAATGTGGCTGAATGCAGCAAGCTGGGGTATGCTCACTTTGGAACTCATTGCTCGGTCTAAGGCTGTGGGCATTTTTTCAGATTCCGGCTTTTTCTGGGCGCAGAACACGTCTGCAAGGTCGGTTGTTGGTATTTTGATATTATCTTCTGTTGTTATATGATGGTTTCGCCACCGGAGCTACGAGTCAAGCTTCCATTGTCATGGTCGGAAAGCTGCCGCCTAGACCTTTGCACCGCCACTTGCAGCACCGACGCCACATTCTGGGGATACCAACGCCTCAGGCATCCACATCTCCTCGGTTCGGGGCTTGCCGCATGATTTCCTGAATTCTACCTCTCGAGAGGTATAGATTGAATATAGAAGGAAGTGAGGCGCCTAGCCCGTTGTTGCAATTTTCTCAAGCTGCCAGCTCCTGTTTGTCATGATCATGACTTCCTGTAGTATTACTTGTGGTGGCTTGAGTAGGAAAGAGCAACTCTAGATATAGTACCTTATAGCTGCAGTCCGTCTTATTGAAGATGGATTTCTCAATACCTCTCACTTTTCCCTGTTCGTTCCTCTGTGCAGACATAGAATTTTTACCGTATACCTACTGTTATCAAGCCACGCTCTCTCATACTCAAACGTTTCGCCTATTCCTACATCAGAGTACCTTTACAATACTCTGCTATTTCCATCATCATCGTCATCATCATGCCTCCGCCGCCCAAGGGCAGCAATCGCCTTTACGATCCTGCGTTCGAATGGTTCGATACACTGCTGCGGGCAGGTCTAGCTTTCAGTGTCCTTACATTTATGATCATCTTTCTCAGCAATTCAGTCAAATTGTAAGTGGCAGTATTGTATCCCATATATGACGGTGATGCTCATCTCCAATGCTCAGGGTTGCCTTCTGGAGGCGAAACAGGCTCCGAGTACATCTTTCCAAGAGAGACCCGAGGAGCAGAAACGGCGTGGAGCTCGGAGATGTTCCTCACACAACTGCGCCCATTCGATATGACTTTGCACCAAGTCAAGCGGATGCTGCATCAGTGATTCATCGCCCTAACCCGATTTACAGAGATGCATCCAGAGTTACCGACAACATTGCGCCTGGGACTGTGCCGCCATGGCAGTGGAGACAGCACCAGCCACAAGAGGAGGAGAGACTGTGAGATGTGGCTGTGTGGCGCAGCAGCCAAGGGTTTCCGACCGGCTAAACCCTAATCTGCCAGATTCCACACAATTGCCTCAAGTGTCCGCAGCCGCCCGTGTTGAGACTCCGTGAAAGTGATTGCACTCCATTCCCTCGCTCCCGACTTTCTTTCAGATCACCCGGTTTGCGTCCATAACCCCTGCCCACCATGCCTCGCGAAGTTTCCGATATCAAGCAGTTCATTGAGATCTGCCGCCGCAAGGATGCCTCCTGTACGTTTCCCGCACACGACTTCCCCGGTTTTAACTGAGTAGAGCGATGGGAATAAGCTCGGATTCAGCTCCGTGGAAGGATTAGCGATGGAATTGCATGGATGCTAACAATTGGTTTTCTCTTTTTACAGCTGCCCGCATCAAGCGCAACCGTTCGACCCAGCAGATCAAGTTCAAGGTCAGATGCCACCGCTTCATCTACACCCTTGTCCTGAAGGACTCCGACAAGGCCGACAAGCTCAAGCAGAGCCTGCCCCCAGGTGCGTTGCAAACCTAAGTTTCTATCCGAATTGCCGCAGTCACGGATCACTGTTTTTGGGAATAGTGTGTAGTAGTAGACGTGATGAGTGGAATGAGAAAACAAGCCGCGCTTCTCCTAGGGATATCAAGCTAACGCTACGTCATCCAACAGCTCTCAAGGTTGTCGATGTGTCCAAGGGTGACAAGAAGAAGGCTCTGTAAATACCTTCAGTCGATGGGGAAAGGGTGATTTGAGTTTCGGTCAATGGAGCTCGGTCAATGCAGGAAACAACTACCAAAAGCGAATCGGCATGGGCATGAACTTTTGTGGGCCGACATTAGAATGACAATTCAGCTTGTGCGGTGAATTTGTTTTTCTTCGCGACTGTTTTTGAACACGTCGAAACGTCAGGGCAGATGGCATTTTCACATCAGCCAGACAGACCTACCTACCTGCACCTACCACCAGGGGCTGCTTTGTCGGAGCCCCCTGAGCTCTATATCTTAATGGAGAAAAACAGTTGAAAATTCTTACTTGTTTTCCGCTTCCAGGTGATGCTGAAACGAGTAGTTTTACGCACGGATTGTGACCTGTGTCGCCATGGATGGGCCACAATAGTTCAGTTCAAATACTCTGTAGGTTTCAGCCATATGACGTAGGATAGCTTTTATCGTCCCTCTTGACGCGGTCACTTTAGGGTGGACATGATACTGCGCTGCCTCCTTAGAGCAGACGATGGAGCACTTGGCATTGTTATCTGAAGCAATATGGGTACGGGACTCGGACAGCATCCGGTACAAACATGGCATGTGTCGCTTGATGATCTTGTCTAGGCTGTTAACAGTTATCGAGACTTCGTGCGACGTCTGACCTGTGCGTATCTATTTACTTCGCCTCGGGGGATACCGAGTAATGACTGGACTCCAAGTCCCACTTTGTTGCAGACCACCGGTTGACTAGAATTCGGCCAGAAAGATCGCTTTCTCATTGGATCTTCATATTTCCTCCAGTATCGGGTTTATTGTCCACATCCCACGATCTTCAGGACGTCGTATCAGATTTGGACTGACTTAGGCTATATTATGTCTTGGCAAAGGTTTGATGAAACATGAACCCCTCGACTCCAATGCCTCCCTCTTATTTCAGCGAGTCAGGATCACGGCGATCGTCATGGCTGACTGTCGGCCATGAAGGCTTCCGCATAGGATTTTGTCTGCACGGTAATGAACCCACATCAGGTGACAAATCAATTATGCACTTGTTCTAGCGTTCGTCTTTGATATCGATGGAGAACAACTGAGATCAAGCGCCGGCTTTATTCGAAGTAGAGGCTCGGAGCAGCTTGCCAGCGAAAGTAAACATCCTCGAATCAAAACAATAGTTGGGACATCGAACGCTAATCATTTCTCTTCAAGGCACGGCAATTCACTAGCAGATAAGGCCACTTATATATGGCGTACCCTCCCTGCTCTCGGCCTAAGCCGCCTTGGAGGCCCAACACAGCAAAAGAAACTGCGATGTAACCGTTTCAGGCACGGATCCCAAGACAAAAGTGCCAAAGGCTCGTATATTGCCGTCGGCCCGTGTGTCCGGCAAAACCTGGGGGATCGTCGCTTTCCATACAGGGAGCCTCTTGGCTGTGCTCTGTGCGGCATACCCAGCGCCTCCTTTCATCAAAGAGAAACATCTGGATGGCGTACTAGTCAGTCGGATGACCAGGACGTCTCAGTCTGTCGCGACGGTCTGGCATATTGCGCATTGTGTTAAGAGATGGATCGCTATGGGGTCTGTGTTCGGGTTTCGCTACGCTGAGTCGTGATACTTACTCGCTGTATTGAGGGTACCCACTGGGTCAAACCGCGATATCCACTGTGGAGGAAGGTGAAAGATGCTGATGCGTTTGATGTTTCTGGATGGTTCCAGCTGCAAGGTCTGAGGAAAAAGCAGGGCAGGGACTGTGGCTGCATGGTACATTCGTTCAGATCCCAAAGAGGCCGGCTTCAGGGAACATTTCCGGATTGCAAGGTTGTGGAGCGCCATTGATTCAAGGCACCCATGCATGCATGCAGCCATTGGCGCCGGGATTTCTCGTAGCGTTTCTATCTGCCGAAGATGAAGAAGGGAATCTGGTGATTCAGGAGCCCTTGTATCGGAGGGATGGATAATTCGTTCAGTCATGCCGGCTTCCCACAAGGGCACTTTCCAGGGGGTTGCGGGGGTTGTGGGGGTTCTCGTACCATGCACTGTTGATGTTGCAGGGGTCGAAGCTCTTCAGAATGGTTATAAAAGGGCCTGAGAAGTCGCTCGTTGCTGTATTCTGTTCTGTTCTCTGTGCTCAACCCAACCGTTACTTCCTCCAGACGCCCCTGATCAAGCAGGTCTTTCATCATTGGCTGCTGCTGCTTCATTGAAACCGCCTTCTTCCATCAGCCAGAATGATTTTGTCCAAGATCGCTTACGTTGCTGGCCTTCTGGGCTCGGCATCTCTCGTGGCGGGCCACGGCTTTGTTTCTGGCATTGTTGCTGATGGGAAATAGTATGTGCTTGAACCACACTATGACAGATACAACAGCTAACACCTATTCCAGCTACGGAGGGTACCTTGTTAACCAGTACCCCTACATGAGCAACCCCCCGGACACTATTGCCTGGTCCACCACTGCCACCGACCTCGGATTTGTGGACGGCACCGGCTACCAGTCTTCGGACATTATCTGCCACAGGAACGCAAAGAATGGCAAGTTGACCGCAACCGTTGCAGCTGGTTCACAGATCGAATTCCAGTGGACCACGTGGCCAGAGTCTCACCATGGACCGGTACGAGGCCGAAGAGACGAGAGCACATTGTGACCAGGCAGGCTAACATAGTATAGTTGATCACCTACCTTGCTCCATGCAACGGGGACTGCGCCACCGTGGACAAGACGACCTTGAAGTTCGTCAAGATTGCCGCTCGAGGCTTGGTCGACGGCTCCAGCCCACCTGGTAAATGGGCTGATGATGAAATGATCGCCAACAACAACACGGCCACGGTGACCATTCCTGCCTCATATGCCCCGGGCAACTACGTCCTCCGTCACGAGATTATTGCCCTTCACTCTGCGGGTAACCTGAATGGCGCTCAGAACTACCCCCAGTGCTTTAATATCAAGATCACCGGTAGCGGCAGTGCTCAGGGATCTGGCACCGCTGGCACGTCCCTGTACAAGAACACTGATCCTGGCATCAAGTTTGACATCTACTCGAGCCTGAGCGGTGGATACCCTATTCCTGGTCCTGCATTGTTCAACGCTTAAGGGTGCGAGCACTGTTTGATCTCCGTCGCCGGCCAAGACCCAGGCTGCCAGAAGCTGGCTAGACGGTGGCCGGTTTGAGGCGAGGAGAGTGCGGTTGGAAGACGGCTGGGACAAGCGTTAGCACATGTGTTGAATCAAAGTTCTTTCCTAGTTCTTTGTCTGACAATCCTTATGGCATCGTCTTTATGATTGTGGTTGAATCTTTTCAATGTATATATATTCTCCACGAAGTTTACTGGAATACGACGTTGGTATGTCTTCAAAGCACAACATCACCCTAGAGAGGTTATATTCCTCACCCCTGAGTGCAAATTTATATAGTCGACTTTTGAGTTTAGATGCGTAGTTCTTTAGTCCCAGACTCCATTGGAGGAAGAAAGATATATAAAAGCAGAACTACGCATACTGATACTTCAACAATAATACGGACCTACAAATTTAAACACAGAATATCACAAAGAACGACATCTTTCCTGCATGGCTGAAAAAATTATGCTGCCTAATCAAGAGCAGTATGCTGTATGACTTCAGCCCAGTCCCCAGAGACAAAAGCCATGGTCCGACGAAAGGCATGCTTGTTAAACAAATTCCAAACCGGCGAATAAGACACACATAAAATATTTTGGCTCCACTGAGCTAACTCGGCAATCGTTCCAGGGGGATCCATAAGGCTGACGGATGGACCTAAAGATAATCATGACATGATGATATCCTGGAACTTCTGCACGGTTGATGTCATCGCCTCGGCCGTGGACCCATATCTTCATATACACCCCGACAGAACATTGGTAACAATACAACATCCCAATCTAGAAATTTCCTCGCGATTGAGTTCAATTGAGAATTGTTCTAAATCAAGAGATTGTCAGAATGGATCCCGATTCTGGTTCTACGCGCGATACCCAACAACCCCCGGAAATGGAATCCAGGGTGCAGCAAGCAGAGGGACAAGGGCGGGACGGGACTCGGGCGACGGGGTCTAGCACCAGCACTGCAGATATGTACTCGACGACAACGAATTCCCTCGCTGACCTGGGGAATAATATCAGGAACATGGCTGGGACGACCATGTCCGAAATCAAAAATAAAGCCGGTGCGGTTTCAGCCGAGGATGTTGTCCGGGAGGTCCGGGATACGGCGTACTCGATCACGATGGGGAGTAAACAGGCGGAGGAGAGTACGGGTACGGGGGTTGAAGGTTTGCTCGCCTCTTCCTAACTATTAATGGGCGATGGGGCTGATACGAGGCAGACTGCGATCCGCAAGAAGCTCGCAGGATTGACGAGCTGCCGAAAGAGCGAATCGCCGAGTTTCTGCAGGAAAAGCACAAGAGCGATGCGGTGCGGCCTTCGAAGCAGCAATGACATTGCGAAGGCTTGGCTTCATCTGAGCAAATTGATGTACATACATTTCAATTGACGATCCGCCTAGCTACGATACCAATGGCAAACAAGAATCGCGAACTGCGAAATGACCACTGAAACGACTCAAATGCGACAGACTAGATATTATCTCACACGCTACAGCACCGCCCGGAAACCGTTGTCCAGACTGCGGTCCAATCCCAAGAACTCGGCGACTTGGCCCAGATGGTCAATTCCCCAGAACCCTTCTTTTTCACCCTTGGAGTTGGTGCACTCAAACCAGGGAAGCCCAAAGGCACCGGTCTGGAATGCACGGTCAGTGTTGTCCGACAAGAGCGATTTGACCTCGTCTTGGCTCGTCTGTCACCGACGGTCAGTAAAGCCAGCAGTACGAAACGCAGGAACAACAATCAACGTACAGCGTTGAGGATCTGCTGTGCGCCTTCTTTGCCGAGCACTTTCTCCAGGACGGGGCCGAATCCCTCAGGTTGTCCGATCTGGCTATTCGCTTCGACCCAGTAGGACTGAAAGAGCGCCTCGACAGCGGGAACAAAGCGTTCCGGCGCCTTTTGCGAGATGGCGCACAGAGCACGCTGCGGTGCCACAGTCAGGGACGGAAAGCCTGCCGGTGTTTGTTCAACAATGGGAACGGAGAAGTAGCGGGCCCAGCGGAGCCGTTCTTGGTTGATCCATTGCGCCTTATCTGGAGGACACAATTAGGTATTGAGTTGAGCATGGAACCTCCCTGGAAATTGACTTACTCTTGATCCGGATGGGCGGAGGATTCTCGCATGCCTTCAACAACCCACCCAGGAAAATGGGCACATATGTGATATCGCACTTGGCAAATGTGGGAGAGTGCTTCAAAAATGTTACTAGCAGCCTCTTAGATGTGGGATGCGAGCATGCTATCACTCACTTTCAATACATGGAACGCTATATGAGCGAACGGGCTCACGACGTCGAAGTAGAGTGTAATCTTGGGAGCGGCCATGCTGTGCAGTCCAGGTAACGCAGTCTGTTACGGCTCTGTCTTGTAAATCCGGAAGCAAATAAGACTCTTTATATAGTTCGTCAAAAGCTGAATAGTATTGATGAGTGCCGTGGCATTGGATACCATCTCAACATACGCTGCTGAGTCATCATCAGCGGGACTGCCGAGGGCTGTACCCATTGATTCTATACCGCAATACGAAGTACTTCATGCTCTCCGATGTAGACGCTCGTATACATGACTATCCGGCAACTCCAGGCCGCGGCTTCCTCTCTCCATGGCCACCTGAATATCTCTACGCTGCTAGCCACTCTGATGCTCGTTCGAGGAGACATTTTTAAACCCCGAGAGCATGGAATCATGCATCCGACCGCTACATCAGGAATCCAGGACACAGCCAAAGAACGCTGGCAAAAAATGACAATTTTTTTTCCTTGTTTCTATCTCAATGAGGAAGTGCGATGCGAGATGAAACATGCTGAGGAGATAGTGCCTTCTAGTCCCAGTCGCATCTCTCTCTTTTCATGGCCAGGTCACTGCAAGCCGCATCCCTTGGCTGTATAGCATACTTGAACAGATCAGCTTCACAGTCTCCGTAATTTGATAAGTGCCAAGAAACTAGAGCACGTTGAATTGAAGTGATCAGTAATCAGTATCAGCCCAGTGCCCTTTGTTGGGGTTCGAAGTTTTCCAAGCCGTTGGGGATGACCGATGGTACGGACATGGAGTCCTTTCAGGATACAGTGACCGAGAGGCGTCGCCATGCAGAGTATTTACCAAGCCACTCGTATGGGGCTTACTGCCACGTTTGCAAAACAACTCTGCGAGATCCACGTGTCCCGCCGTTTGTCAATGAGAACAACAGGTGTGACCATTTCGAGGAGCCAAATCTCTTTGATGAAGCGCATATCTTCTACGCTTGACTCAGGATCATGAGACGCGGCTCGTCCAATGGTAACCCATTCGACGGCCCTCTACGCCAAACGGAGGCCGAGCTCTACATGCGTTTACAGCCATAGACCAATATTAGAATGGTATCTGGTGACGGATGGGCCTCCAAGAAAAGCCACTAACAAGACGGCATCACTTGCGGATTCACAGAGGACGACTTGAAACAGCAAGGCAGAAGTCGGAGAAATTTCTCTGATCGAGATCGCGAGCATCAACAATATGACTTCATTGAATGGGAGGTATGATCTTCCGTCATTGCATCGCAGAATCGTCATCATGATCCAAATCCTCTACTGTGGCGCTCTCGGTCCAAACCCCGTATATCAGATCCCAGGGCCTTCAAAGAACACGCAAGCGACTATCTCAGCTCGGTTGTCGCATACCCTTGATAGTATTGACCCACAAGTTGTGCACCACATTTAGGCAATGTCATCCAACCCTCCGAATGAAGAGGGAGACTTCCCATCCAACGATGAGCAACAGCAACAAGAAAACAGTTCGAACGTCGATCGTGAGATTATGGGCGTCACTAGCCGAGGGACAGCACCGCGCGTGTCGCGACGGAAGCGGTCCGAGTATGCACGATCCTGGAACCGATCCAGTTCTCGACGACGCGTTGGAGAAACAGGATCCAAGTACCGTTCTCGGTCCAGGCACTAAGTCATTCCATTTGAGACTCCTGTCAGCTTGGCTGTGTCTGTTGAGCAGATTGCACGGCTGGAAGAGGGCAGGTTGCAAAACGAAGTGTCAAATTACAGTACTCAGGCGCTGGTATAGAACAACAACAGCAGATCTCAAACAGAATAATTGAAAATCACAATATGAATGTCCAATTTGAATGTTGCGCGGCCGATGTGCCGCACTCATACGATTCGGCGAATAGGATTATTACTAGTCTAATCCAAGTGTTCCATCGTCGCTTTTGTGGCCCAATGCGACTTCTTGTAAGGAGCGACATCCGGAGGCTCTTCAATAGTTCTAGCGTCTCGGATTCACGTGGTCAGGTGAAGGAGAGGTAGATGCGACGATCAACCTAAAACCGTATATGTCGGATGGTCGTGCTTGCTTGGCAGCGCCAACTGAGAATGATGGCATAATTCGGCAGAAAACCCCCGAAACAAGCCATCCGGGCAAGTGCGTCCAGAAGCTGGCCAGAGTCGGCATACAATATGCCGGGTTTGCCTTTCAGCTGAAAGGTTCGCCGCGCGATAGGCAAGCTTGCTAGTTGCTCATTGTTTAAACAATGGATTGATCACGACAAAGAAGTGTCTTTCAGCTCGTCATGATGGGCTTGCAATGTTGAGCGTCATGTCTGTCCTTTCGTCCATAGCAATACAACTCAATCTCGTCAAACTGGTCATGTTGAGACGGAAGTTGCATGGTGTCCTTATGCAGACTGAAAAGATTAACCGAGTCCATCAGGCTGAAAAAGACTTCTTCGCTATCATGTCGTCTCTTCAAAGCCACCAGTACCACAGCGTCAGGCGACATCTGGACCAGACGGTCCAGCACATTGGCCAGCGCTGGCAGGCTGTCCGCGTTATACGTGCAATCCGAGACAAGAATGAGGTCAATGTGGCCGTCACATAAATCGTCAGGCAGCTTTACATCCCAATCAAGTGTTTGATATCTGACCTGAGACGACGGAGCTGGCCTTGCGACGGCTATGTTTTTCATGACAATCTCCTCAACTTCATCAAGATCTGTAAGTAGAACCGAGCAATGCGAGAGGAGCTCTGCTAGCGCTATACCCACAATACCGCAGCCAGACCCCAATTCAATGACGTGAAGAGGGGTGCTGCGTTGGCCTTGTAGCAGGCTCCCGAGCAGAGGTGCGGCGTACCCTGGGGTCTTAGTGATCGCTTGCTCAAGGTACATAACGGATGCGATAGCTGCATCCCTGTGAACGCAATATATATCTTCTTAGAACGATAACCAGATAGGGATTTAGAGGCCTCACCAGATGTGCCGCGCAATGCTGTTGCCGGTCTCCTCCCATATCCGGAGATCCAACTGATCCTTTGGGCGGAAGCGTCGTTCGACGAGCTTCTCAGCCACAAGAGTCTCTGATCCTCCAAACGGCGCGCTCCAGCCTGATATGACTAGAGGGAGTTTAGAGGTGTCGAGCAGATAATCTGTACTGGGCAGGCTCGGCCGTTGAGGGTCAACTGCGGTTACGCCTAGCACGATAGCCTCCTGGGATAGTCTGGCGGAAAATGGACCTAAAGATAGCGGAAGCTCGCGTTTTCCTGCTTTCCACTGTAGGTTGTCCTTATAAAGAATCCTGCCTGAGCCATTGGAACTCAATATCACCTGCAAATCGATATCTTGGGCTAGAAATGCATCTCCCAAGTCCGTGGTGATGCATATGAGCGCAGTTACAGTGACGGGCCCCGCTTTTTGACTCTGAAGTCGAGGAGTCTTCAGGAAACGAACGTAATACACCATTTCCAAGTCAGAGACGGAGAACTGATTGGCGATCCTAGTGAGTTAGATTCTGGTAAATGTTTACTGGTATGGACGATAGATAGATACTGATGGCACGTGCCCGCTGACTAAACCGCCAAGTGCCGAAATGACATCGCAGAGTGGAGGCGGGCAGGCCCTCATTCCTGAGGCAGTGAGACACACCTCATCCAAACCATCGCATTCTATCTACACGTCGTATGGATATATCGATGGGGCTGACGATCGAGCCGCCCACTGCCGATATCATTCGTCCCATCGATTCACTTCAATGTGATTCTTTTGGAACAGACTGAAGCATCTGCGCACAAAGTCTCCGCCGTTGCCTGATTGTCATACCCAAACGGGATACCTTATCATCAAGATGATGCGACCCAGAGACCCTCGGGTCCGCCAGACGATCAACCAGATCTCTCACAACCTGGAATCCGCGAACGAGACGGCGCAGGAAGGGCTCTATACATTTTCGCACCATTATATCCTGCCTTGTCTTTCGTCGATTGGAAACTGCATCCACGCATGTACGGCCCCCTGTCTTCCCAGTAGGGAGGACCATCTTCGACGTCGAAGACGGGGTCGTGCGGAAGCCAGCTTTGACTTTTACGATGATTGGGATAATGATGATGCCAACGACAGCTTGCTTGGATGGGGCACGGACGAGCTCGACCGGCTGCTGGCGGGGAGCGGCTTGACGCGCGGGGGCGCCGAACAGCCACGCAGACAGCGTAAAATGAGTTACGGTACTCGAGGCACGAGACGGAAGAGCAGTGTTCTGGTACCAGATAACCGAAATGACCCGACTGTTATTCCAAGCTCGTCCTTTCTGGGGTTCTTGGAGCGCTTTCCTTGGAGACTGGGGGCGCGAGGGCTGAAATATCGACCATCTGCTGCGGATCTCCAGGAACATCCTACGGGGCTGCGCCGGCATGTGCCCGAGGATGAACCCCTCATGGAGTCCGCTGAAGAAACGGAGGAGCAGGACTCCCGCAGCAAGAATGGGCGTTACCGCAGTGCCACGCAGACATCGCGTGAGACCGCGAACTCCTTGAGCTCGAGAGGAGATTTGATTCCTAGCGACGAGGAGGAAGATGCAGTTCCTCTAGACGACGAATTTGCACTGGCGTGGGTCAGTCGCCGAGGGACAGGACTAGACTCGGATGATCAATTGAGCGACAAAGTTGCAGGAATGAAACGGTCCATGTCGGGAACATTTAGTTTTAAGACTTCAGCTTCGAGGGAGTCCAAAAAGAAAAAGAGTCGGTTACGACAATCCCAAAGTCATAACAAAGAGCATACTCGTGATTACGGCACAGCGTCCTTGCTGGATCTGAGAAAAGAAGAGGAGCAAGCAGAGGTAGAGGAAGAAACAGACGTCGCTCGGAGACGGGCTGCTGCACGGAATTTGGCTGCAAGTCGTGGCCTCGATCAAAGCAAAGACAAGGTATGCTAATTGCGATGAAACTTGGAACCATTCATGCTCACTAGGAATTGTAGCCTTCGCCGTCATCTTATCCACAATCTGCACCTGGTGTTTCAGATAGTCCTTCTACAGCCCCGGATCACACCCATGTAGAGTCAAATGAAGCCCGTACCCTTTCACCTACCCGTGGAGGGGTCTCGCGCCGCGAGTCGGACTGGCGACCGCCTGCGAATTCCTCCCAAACAGAACCCTTCCCCCCACTACCCTCCTCTCTATCAGCGACTGGCTCGTTCGAAGACCTTTCAACGTCCCCGAGAACACCTACTCAAGTTCCCAGCAACCCCTCGGGAGCTGCTGGTCAGCTAAATTCGTCCCACAGCCATGGTTATAAGGCTTCTCACGGGCAAAGTGGAGAAGATTAATCCGCTTGCTGCAGGAACTGTCTGACCCGCTCCGGCTGGAAGTTAAGGAATGCCAAGAACGCTGGCAGCAGTGATTCAGAAAAGAAGGCGGCTGGAAACGCTTATATTCAAATGGGCCAATTCCATGGCATTGAGCCTGAGTTGTACATTATGATATGATTAACGATCAGTTACTTTATACCCAGTTCTCAAGAACAAAGACAATCAGCTATACACTCGGTGTACTGTACGATCAATGTATAATCTTTTTACAGTAACGCCAATATGAACCCACTGCTATGTTCAGCTTTGTCCTGGCTTGCGGAGTCTAAAACCTTGCAAGGAACCGCTCAGAGGCATGAAGCTTGCCATATATCACAGACGGTTCGACGTCAGTGTCACTGGCATCGCTCGACCGGCTTATGGTGGCGCTAGGGAAGAGTCATCAAAAAGCCAAGGCGGATTGGCCAAATTCATGATCTGCTGATCAAAGATCGTCCACGTATAATCCATATTCGGCGCCGGGAAGGCAAAATCAGGTCCATTGTCCGGCGGGGTATGCATGCTCTGTATTCCTGACTGAAGCCGCTCTGCAAGGACGCCGTGGATGCTGAATGTGGACGGATCGCTCCGTTTCAAGGTGCTGAGCTGGGTTTGGATCAGACGGAGATCTGCAACAAGTCGTGTTAGCAGATGATTCAACGCATGGCTGATCGTACTGTACCATCGTGATGTGTCATTCCGTCTTCGACCCCGCGTAGCAGGAGCATGGCTGCCCATGTTATCATCTGGACTGTTAGTCTTGTCCTGAGAATGAGGTGAGTATATGCTTACAATTAGATCCCAGTTCGACCAGATACTCGCATCATCCTGCCGCAATCGCAGGACAGCGCGCGCCGACATCAGGAGCTCCTGCCGTTCGCTCGGGGTGATGTTCGCAGAGCCCAGGTCGAACCCACGAGCTGGATGGTAGATTGACAGAACGTAGAGTTTGTGAAGATGATACTGTAGGAGAATAAGGATACCTTGACGGTCGGACGGTGAGGGCTCTATGGACACAAGCAGCTATGTTAGTGTTGGCTACATCCATCGCTAGTTCTGTCCAGCAGGGAAATGCCTTACGCGACGCTCCGTTGTATTGAACCAGCCACTCATCAAGTTTCTTGGCCCACAGCCGAATAACTTGAGAATCCTTATCTGTGAAAGGTGTACCGACCGAGGGCAAGGCATCTGAATCCCTTGCACTCACGAAGGACCATATAGTGGGGAGTTTCCGGCCTACGAAATGGTTAAGGCCTTGGTGCATCATCTGTGAGAGGCCGCGAAATGCACTGTCATGTTGGCTATCCAAGTGTTGCAGAGCCGGTATGGGTGGCTGTCTCGGAAGAAGGGGATAGCACATGTGCATGGAGGCATGCTCTATGTCAATCACCTAGAGACATTAGCACATAGCCCAGAATCAAACACAAGCACACTGCAAAGTACCTGAATGCCTGAAAAAAGTCGGCGCCAATCGTATGTCGCGTCTTCCAGGTTGGAAGGGCAGTGGTCAAGTAGAAGCCGGTATGCGAGGGCTATCCACTTGTCCGTAGTTTCAATGTACGCTTCGCAACTTAGACTGGCCATAATAAGGCCGAGAATATCCTGAAACACCGTATGCTCGTCACTTGAGGATGAGGAGACATGGCTTCTGGTCCAGCCAGACATGCCAGGCCTTGCGCTTGGAACGACGAGCTCGGAAATTGCACTGCATGTAGCTGCGAAATACCCACCTGCTAACGAAGCAAGCTCTGCTAGAGGGCTATGTACCGCCGATATGTAGAGAACAGAAGCAAGCAATAGAGGTGAAGGGGAGACCAAGACACTTTGGTCCTGAACAAAATGAAGTAATGGAAGGTTGTTCAGAAATCTGGATTTGAGTCAGCCCGCACACTGCGAAGGGAGAAGGCAAACAAAGTATGAGCTACATACGAGATCCATAAACGGGTGACGATCGAATATGACCAGATATTATGATCCTGAGGCGGACTGGTGATGATCTTAAGACGCTCAACAGCTTTCCAAAGTCCGCGGGCAGAGACATCGTCAGGCTCTTCCTCCAGATCGGAGTCGATGGTCGGCAATGAGGACGTGTTTCCCTCTTTACCAATGCCTAGCAGTGACTCGATCCGCTCCAGACGCCCGATGATAGACGAAGCATCCTGATCGGGAGACGAAGGATGATACACAAGCGTGCCCTGCACACTCTGTGACCGTTCTGGGATTGACTGGACCGCTGCAGCCTAGAGGGTGTCAGTATGCAATGGAAATTCCTCAGACTTTCCAGGGAAGCACTGAGGCAAATGCGATCAGTACATTTGATCTAGGCTTGAAGATACACGGAGCGTTTGTATGACGACAGCGACGACATGGAGGAGCCCCGTCGACTTCACATTTCATCTTGGAGACAGTCAGTACAATTGGCCCATTCTGGTCGACAGTCGCTGCAACTTCACCTTCAGCCTACGACAATTGACTGTAACAGATTTCGTCAGTTTTATCCGACACTAATCAATCTACTTTGAATCCAAGAGAATTCAGCTCCACCTACCGCATGCCTTTGTCGGCTTGGGGCCCAGGACAATGGAGCCCGTTCTCTTCATGGCGCTATACACATGAATCTCCGAATAGCATGATTTTCGTCGGAGAACCCAGCCGAGGCAAAGGAGCGGCCACTTTCCTTACGCCTGGGGAACGTTTCTTTTCAAGTTCATCTGAAGTAAACGATGATAAGAAGAATTTGGAGTATTCGGGATGTTGAGGGTCTAAAGTCCAGACACGTGAGAGGGGGAGGCTGGACAGTACTCTGTACCTAGACACTAGACTAGACCTCCTCTTCTTTGATTTAGATCCTCTCACGATTCGTCAGTTGGTCAACGGATCCCTGATAAGCCAAGATTACTCTAACGAGAATTGGAAATTGGTTGCAGAATGCAATCACGACCCCCGTTTATCGTTCCTGGCCTTCTTTGCAGCTCTTAATTTATGAAAAGTGACCGTAACCCCCGGTCTGATGGTCTATAGACTTCAACAAGTCATCGTCCAGCGCAGGTAGGCGGCATCCAAGTATCAACTATTATGAGATCAAATACAACAGATACCAGCTTGCTCCAATTTTATCCATGTTCTCGCGTTTTTAGTCCGCTCTGCGTAGGCTGACAGTTCAGAGAGGGTCTGAGAAACGGAGACAAGAAGTGTACCTCGTGGGTTCACATTCTTACTGATCTTGCGCTTACTCCAGGCTTTGAAAAGCCAGGAGGACCAGCCATCTACCGATCATGGGGATCAAGATCGAAGACGGGGTCGAGGTTTGTTCTTGAGACGCGCTGGAATGATCGATACGGGAAAAGGAAGGAAGAAAAGAAACACAGGGAGTGAAGTCGGTATACTATACAGGGAGATGTCTATATACAAGCCATTTGTCGGGCGAACGTGATGATAAAAGGTCATTATACTGATACAATATGGAGCCCCAGAGCGTCAAAAAGGGTCCAAGTTTCGGGGTATCATGTTCGTCTAGACCAAGTCGTCGATGACCGTCTCAACTTTAAGCAGACTCCACGGCACCACCTTGGCCCATGGGGTCGATCAGAGGCTCACCTGAGGCATTCATAGAGAGCTTTCGGACTTCCCAGCCTTCGGAATCAGCCCAATCCTTCTTCTCACCGAGCAGACAGATGGATTGGCGAGATCCTTCAACCAGGAACTTCTGAGCGACCTCATTGACATCCTTTGCAGTGACATCCAGCACTTGCTCTCGCCAACGTTGGTCCATTTCATGTGTAACACCACTCATGAAATACCTGGCACCCTCCTCATCGACACTCATAGGAGCATCAAGGCCCTGGAAGATGCCCAGCTTGGCCTCAGCAAGTTCGCGGTCTGACCAGGCACGATCCCGAGCAAAGATCCCACTGTTCTGGAAGACTTTGAGACTGTTCACTGGGTTGGGATCCCGGTAGGTAGTAAAGGCGAAGAATCCCTTGATAGGGCCGTTGCTGGCCCCGGCGCCATACGCGCCTCCCTTCTCTCGGATTTCAGGGTGAAGGTATTTGTGGGTAAGAAGTTGAGAAAGGACGCTGAGAGGTGCACTAGAGGGATCGATGAAAGGGACCGTCTGCATGGCAAGTCCAGAGTAGTAGACCTTGTAAGGCAAGTCGTAGAACACCTTATTAGCTACCGAATTCACGCCAGAATTATCAAGTGGCGAAGTGGGTGACCGGTTACGAGGTAGCCCTGCCAGCCATTTCTGGAGCACATTCTCGTTCTGTGATGCACTGCTGGGCTCACAGACCATGCGAACACGGAGACCAGAGCCTTTGGAAATAGCAAATGACTGAATCAGCCGAAGCTTATCAATCAGCTCAGCAAGACGCTCTGGAGAACTCTCCGCGTCGCGAAGGAGGTTAGCCGTAGCCTGCAATTGCGCTAGACCAGACTGCTGTTCCTGAACCCAAAAACCCCGAGATAGACCAGCGGCTGCCGCATTCAGGGCGTAACGATGCCCCGACCCCGCAACAGCGTCCAAAGCGCCGTTGGTGGTCATGCGCAGTAATTCCTGAATCATGGCGGGCGCATGAGGGCTGGTGAAATCTGTCTCAGTGACGAGAGTAGTGAGTATCTGCAGCATATCTGGAATGTTGCTGTCCAGGGAATATCCTGAAAACTGCAAGCCCTCCCTGAATTTGCCCAATTCCGTAGGAGAAGATGTGTGGAGAGTGGATGTTGTAATTCCGCCGGTCTTCAACTTGATCAGATCTTCCCACTGTTCCATGGATTTGTCTCTAGTGCCTAGTCGCATGATACAATCGTTGAACAGCGGCAATAACAATCGCAGATCATCTGGGAGCTCCTCAAAAGAATTCAATGCTTGGAAATAGGTGAGTCCATTTGTTGGGGCTTCGCGCCAGACGACGTCTATATCGTCCACCTTGGACTCCCGCACGGGTTTGCGTTCCTTTTCCCTGGAGATATCCTCAACGCGCAGAGAGGGTAAGCAGCTCAAATCGGCGTTTTGCGCCTCTTCTTGAATCTTGAGCAATTGAAGCTCTTCTTCAGCAAGCGCAGAGACAGCCTGCTCAACCGAGCCATGGCGTTCAACGAGCTGACTGAGCTTCTTTTCCTTGCGCACCATTTCCTGATCATCGAGATCTTTGTTATACGAGGGAGTTCCCACCATCGTAAACGTCAGACAGTTATCGTTCATGAGATATTTTTGCATTAATGACTCAATGTAGCCTCCTTGTTCATACTTTTTCTTGAACTCATCGATGACTTCATTCCAAGACAACTCCTTCATAGGGTTCGAACCATTGAACCAGGATGAAAGGGTTTTCTCCATGACACCAATACCGAAATTAGCCGTCTTGTGTCTCAACGCGAGTTCAAGTTGATGAAGGAAGCCTTGGACTTTCTCATCATTGAAACCCGAGGAAAGAGACTCCTCGAAAACCCTTTGAATAGTCGCCTTGACCTTTGGTGCGTCCGCTTCGCTCACGCCGGTAAGACCGACTGAAAAGATTGGCACTCTACCAGAGGAATCAAGGCCCGTGTTGGGAGTAAAAGAAGACCCTAACCCACTCTCGATCAACGCACGATACATTGGCGAACCATAGCCATCGAGGAGTAAGGAAGAAAGTATTCCGACCGAGAACGTCTCGACGACGTCGGTCGTGTCGCCCATATACCAAGAGGTCGAGGTCTTGTACTGCTTGTCCTCGCTGGCGAATGTGTCGATAGGTCCGGGAACAGTAACATTCAGGGGACCCCGACTCAGGTCCAAGGGCAGCTTGACATCTCGGTCGGCCTGTCCCTTTTCAAAGGCATCCAACACCTCACCGATCTGTCTCAAGTGTCCGCTCAGAGGCATGTCCCCGTATGTCAAAATCTTGGCGTTACTGGGATGGTAATTCCGCTTGGAGAAGTCCACAAGCTGCTGGTGCGTCAAATCGGTGATGTATTGAGGGTCTCCACCAGAGTTATTCAGCGACGGGCAGATGCTTTCACGATATTTGATGTAGTAGAGATAATTGGCGTCCGATATTTGTCCCTTCATTTCGTTGTAGACGACACCTTTGAAGACCACATCGTCTGACCGCAGGTCTCCCTTGGGTTGTTCTCCCTGGGCAAGGATGGAACGAGGGTCCTCTGGTCCCAGCCGCCACCCCTCTTGCCTGAAGTCTTCTTCTTTCAGTAATGGGTGCAGTGTAGCGTCCAAATACACTGAGAGCAGGTTTTGGAAGTCCTGTTGATTCGTTGTGGCGAAGGGGTATGTGGTGTGGTCTGCGGAGGTGAAAGCATTCATAAAATTCGACAATGATCGGGGAAGCATCTTGAAGAAGGGGTCGCGAATTGGGTACCTAGAATGTCGAAACATATCAGCAATAAGTTCAACTCTAAAGGCACATTTATACTTGCGCAAGAGTCGGACCGAAGCTTTCTCACTTTTCACTTCCACACAACGTGGTGTGCTCCAAAATATGTGGCACGCCAGTCGCATCAGGTGGGTTCGTCTTAAAGCCAATACCAAAGACATTGTTCTTATCCTCCCTGGCGACATGAAGGTAATCTGCATCTGTCTTGTCATGCTTTAACCGTACTGCCGTAAGATGCAACTCTGGCACATGTTTCTTCTCCTGGACTGTAAACCCGTGAAGTTTCTCTCCGACATTTGGAAAACTGTCCAAGCTAGTGACAGTCGACGCAGCTCTTCGAGATTGATTCCATGGAGCGAGTGTGTTGCTGACTCTCAGCGACCGACCACAGACTGGCTGCCTCGAGACCGGTATTCGGCATTTGCATTTCCCTGCCCCTGAGAAAGAGCGCAACATGGCGTGGACAACCTGGAAAGGAGAGAGACCGCCTAGCTGCAGCAGTCTATAGGGATGGTGAGCTTTCTGTCCTCTAGGAGCTGTTACTCTAACTTATGGTGCCGAGATGAGGAGGTCGTTTAAGGGTGCAGCCAAAAGTGTCCCGATCACTCTGATCCGACCAAGAATACCCGTGACTGGACAGACGGGGGCGTTTGAAAAGGACGGCAGAAAAGGTCGAAGTAGCTGTACAGGTGTAGGTGAATCGAAGGATATGATGGCAGACCAGGCTGTGGTACTTTGGCCGATGCCAAGATTGAAGATTTCAAATCGGGTTAGTGCCGGTCAAGAGCGCATCCCCCTCTTACCTACGCTCACGACTGGATTCGATTCGATCCATTCTCCCCGGCAAGGTCCTCGACGCTTCTGTTCTGTGTGTCCGTCTTTCATCTGGCAGACCTGCTCTCATTCCCCGGAAGCCCCCGCAGCCTATTCTCTTGCTTGAAGGTCTTCGATCGTCTGGCAGAACTTGGTGCAAAAGATTGTGGAGATACAATCCACCGAGTTCTGCGAGTCTTAAAAGAGAAGGCCACCTAGGTTCTCCGCTAGTATAGGTACTCTGTGGGTTTTGGGCTCCGACTAGACTAGAGCTTCGATCATACTTCTTGGGGAGTACTGTCTTACATCCGTGGTGTTCCTGCCTCCGCAGCCGTGTACCGAAAAAAGCCACCCATTTAACGGTCTACCGCTTCTCGCCAACCTTGCCGTCTTCGCAATTTTCGGCATCCGTGGATTGGCCACGCGACCACCGCCAACGAATCCGCAAATCGCACCGAATATTCGGCACTGTTTCTGCAGGAATCGGAGGTCATGTCATCTGCAGCAATGTCGAAGAAGAACAAGGGGAAGAAGATGGCGGATCCCAACGAGACGTCTAAGCTACTTGCTGCCAAAATCTCCCAGCTGGAGCAAGATGCCGCTGGGGAGAAAGATCAAGAACAAGAAATCGGTTCGTTATGCTGCCTTTTCCTCTCAAAAAATCCCATGTGCAGCTGAGTTTTGGTCGCTACGATACTTATTGAGGGTTGACACTAACTGGCACAAACCGACAGAGCGTGAGGTCAAGAAGGCTACCAGAGATTTGAACCAATTGCTCAGCAACATCGAGTCCCCCATGACCCGACTGGAGACCGTGCACAAGAAGTACACCGAACTGTTGGCGGACATGAAGAAGCTGGATCGCGACTATGCCAAAAGCAAAAAGCGGGCCGATCAACTTCAGAAGGACCAGGACAAGGGCAAGTCGGAACTGAACAAGACTGTCACCATGAAAGATAAACTGGAGAAACTCTGCCGAGAGCTTACCAAAGAGAACAAGAAGGTCAAGGTGGGTTGATTCGGACTCGACGGAATCGTCTATTTCAGCTGCAAGAGCGTTGGTCTGACAGGCGCATATTCGACAGGACGAAAACAAAAAACTGGAGGAAACCGAGAAAAAGGCGCGGCTGATTGTGAATGAACGGCTTGACTCTCTGCTGTACGATATCCAAGATGTCATGGCAGCAAAGGGCAACCCTCGCAACGAAAAGCTGGATATCGACTTGGACGAGGCGTAAGTCCACTGTCATACGGACAGTCAATTTAACCGCTGACCTTTGCATCACAGTCTGCGCGCCAAAATTAAGACCATCGGCGAGAAGTTCGAAATGCGAGAGTTGCATTATAAAGCGCTCTTGCGCAGCAAGGATGCCGAGATCCAGTGCCTGACTGCCAAGTACGAAGAACAGCGCCGCGCTGCTGAAAACGAAGCGGCCCGTTGTCGTGCACTCAGTTCGCAGGTGTCTACATTTTCGCATACCGAAGCCGAGTTGCGCAGCCAACTGAATATTTACGTTGAAAAGTTCAAGCAGGTATGCTTCGGCGTCCATTACCCAGCCCATCACTTCTTTTACAATAGCAGGTAATAATAATGTCACAGGTGGAGGATACACTCAATAACAGTAACGAACTGTTCCTGACATTCCGCAAAGAGATGGAGGAAATGTCGAAGAAAACCAAACGGTTAGAGAAGGAGAACCTGACACTCACGCGCAAGCACGACCAAACGAACCGAAACATACTAGAGATGGCCGAGGAACGGACGCGAAATCACGAAGAGTTGGAAAAGTGGCGAAAGAAGAGTCAACACCTTGAAGCGCTTTGCCGGCGAATGCAGGCGCAGGGTCGTGGGCAGGGTCTCACAGCCGAGTTGAATGGAGATGACGAGGGAACAGAGAGCGAGTACGACGAAGACTACGAAGATGATGAAGACGACGAGGGTATCAGCGACGATGAATACGAGTTGGACAACCCGGAGCACGACATCAACGGTGGCCGTAGCGCTCCCCAGCCGACTGAGAAGCCTGTCTTTGGGCCACCCCCGCCGCCTAACCTCTTGGAAGCGCGAGCGAACGGAAACAAAGCCATGATCAACGGATGCCACTAATGGATCTTGGTCATCGCTAGTACCTGCTGTATCGCGTTTACCTCGTATTCTATGAGTCTCCTGGCGGCCAATGCATAGAAGGGTGTATATTCGTTGCGAGACGCTTGTCACCCGCGTGGATATGACTCGATTCGCTATGAGTATTTGATTTGAGTCGCGCATATCACGAAAGGACGTGTAGCAGCAAGCCTCTCAGCGCCTGAAGGCTCATTTCACATAGTTCAAGCCAGAATAATGGAGACACTATCGGTGAGCCTCTCGTTTGGTGCTGCCGAACTAGTCTCAAAGTATACCACAAAGCATGTTTCCTCATCCACGAGGTTTTTCATTTCGCCCGTCGCACCCGTTCTGTTTTGTTGCACATGTTCCTGTACTTGTACAAGCCGAATGAACAAAAACCCTATTGATAGCTTCAGGCAATCATGGAATTCATCTTTACAACATAGCATCAAATTTGCTGGAATCTCTAGCGTGCCAAAGACATCTAAACTACGCACAGCCAAAGAATCATAGCTTGCTTGACGATCCGGTGGTATACGACGCTCCTAGCTTCAACATTTCGGCGGCATCCCGGACCATCTCGCGCACAATGTCACCTGCAGGCTTGATCTCTGTGATGCTGGCTGAGACATCACCCATGAGGAAGGGCATATCGACCTCCTTCTCGTTCTCCAGGTCGTGCATCATAGGGACGATGCCCTTGGCCGTCAAGTCGGCGATCTCCTGGGGCCGCCTTTCCCAGTCCTTGATGTAATCATTCGGCAGCATGCGCAGCGGCCGTCCGGTGACAACAAGCGTCCGCTGCGTCTCGCCGTACCGGGCCCGGACTACAGCCTCCTTGTGCATCCGACTAGCACCACTCTCCTCGGACGCCACGAACCGCGTACCCACCCAGACCCCGGCCGCACCCAGCATCAGCGACGCCGCCAGGCTACGACCGTCGTTGATGCCGCCCGCCGCGACGACCAGCGCCGGCTGACCCGTCATCGGACTCTTATACCGCTTCGCAACGTCCACGACGGCCGGCACGAGGACGGAGAAGGGGATGTCGCCCGTATGCCCGCCACCCTCCCCACCCTGCGCACAGACAATGTCCACACCGCGCTGCAACGCCTTCTCCGCGTGCCTCGGTGCCCCAACCATATTCATGACCAGGATACCGGCGTCATGGAGCCGCTTGATGGTGCGCTCGGGCGGCACGCCCACGGCAGACACGAAGAGCCTCGCGCCGTGCGAGATGACAACCTCGATGAGCTCGTCGAGCTGGCCGTGTGTGTAGTCGTGGTTTGTGGCGCGGGCGCCGCCGCCGACCTGCGGCAGGGCCAGGTCCACGCCGAAGGGGAGAGATTTGTCGCGGAGGAGCGATTTGAGCTCCGTGAGCATCTCTGAGAGTTGCTGGGGTGTGTAGCCCAGCCCGCCGATTGTTCCTAGTCCGCCTGCGTTGGAGACGGCGGCGGCGAGGGGAGCGCCGGATGCACGCGCCATGCCTGCCAGCAGGACGGGGTGCTGGATGTTGAGGAGCGAGCAGAGGGGTGTGTGGACGGACATTTTGTAGTTCAGATAATAGAACTAGGGGTATCAAGTTGCCTTCACAAGTAAGCGTTGTCTTGTGTCATCCCTATTCTTCACCGCTGTCGTAGAGGACTGAGTGAAGGAGAGAACTGCGGTAAAGGATGTGCCTAGATTGAGAAGGAATAGTTAGGGTGAGACGTCTTAATAAATCGTTAGGGATCGAGTAGACGGGAGGTCATCTTAATAGCACTATTGACTACATGAATACAGAAGAAATAGCTCTCACGAGCTCCCGAATCATTATCCACACATATGATCAAATACAGAGCAGGCGATGCAGCTGTCGTGTCTGTGAATGCGGGGAAGCGGAGGCCCCGAGTAGTCGGACCGAGGCTGAATTCACCCTGTGCCTTCGTTCCAACTATCAACAATACACCATTTACGTCTACCATCTCCTTTGTTTCCGTTACTTCATATAGCCGATAGTGACAAAGGCGCTAATGATTAGTGGTATCCTTCGTTCCTTGTATCATCGACGGAATGTCGAGTCCGCCGGTAACTCGTGAGGATTCACCTGGCCCTCAAGTTCATGTGCAGGACTGCGGCCGTCAAGTTCACTGACCATATGGCTATTATTCTTGTAATCTGTGACGGGGACTACCTGTGGCGCGGGGACGACTGGTTGACGTTTCGTTCGGCGACTGAGAAGCCACCACACCAAGAAAGCGATGAGGGCTACTCCAGCCACGCCGCCGACTACACCTCCTGCAATGGCTCCTGTGTTTGTCTTGGAGGGCGCTTCGGAGGACTGAGTGGACGTCTGTATTGGTGATGTCGCGGATGTAGAGCTCGTCGCTGCGGATGTTACAGAGGAAGTCGATGTCGCAACCGATGCTGGAACGGTACGTTAGCATTGACCTGAAGCTTTCTGGATGTTTTACAGCCCACGTACCCTTCCCCTTGGAGACAACCGGCAACAGAGTCTCAGAGCTATCGAATTTATACCCCGGCAGCGCGCAGCCATCACTGTTCGAACTTGTCCCGAAGGCTGTTGTCCCATTCTCACAGCAAAAGTATCCGTAATAATTGTACAAATCCCACGTCTCATTGGCGCATTTCGGCGTCTCCACAAGCAGCTGTGTGCAGTTTGCGGCGGATGGACAGCAGTCCACATTGTATTGGCTTGGACAGTGTGAGCCCGCGGGACAACAGGCTCGAAAGGGGTGAAGGGTGGCACCACAGTCTACCTCTGTGTCGAGACAGGTGCCATTCTTGCGGAGCGCAAACCCAGCGGGGCCGTCTAATACGCCAGACATTGACTGTGAATTCCGGGTCGACTGGCCGTGAGGGCGTCGAAGCAATGACAATACAGAGGGAGAATGTTGACCAGCGTAGGATTACTTGTAAACTTAGGTTACCGCAGAGGATAGTACCTGAGAGTCAATTGTAACAAACAGAATTAAGGCCCCAAATTCCAGAGCAATTGGAGATTTTGCAAATCGCTTATGAGGCTCAGGGTTTCAGTGCACGTCAATCGGACCATCAGGGGGTTACAGGAATAATGTACACATAGCCCCCCCATTGGGTCAATTGTCAATGCCTGTCATTTAGGCCCACATTCTATGATATTGCGATTCGTAACTGGACTGCACGAATCGCGAATACAGAAATAATCTGCGTGAGCACTAGAGAATCGAAGGAGGAGAAATACAGCTGTCCAATTATGCCTATCCACCCTACGAGTCAGGCTATCCACTCTACCTCCTGCCATAGAGCAGAGTTCCACTAGATACTAGACTGGCGTGGAAGGGATCGGCATTGTTGGTCACGGCGCCCGAGGCTTGGCTACTGAGCCCCGATTTGATCAATCAGAGCGTGCTCGAGGGTTAGATACTGATTATGCTGCACCCACAGGGAGCCAGCCAGAAGAGGGCCAGAACGGGGCATGCTGTGAACATTTGAATTTGAAATGACCATCTATTCTTTGCACAATCACAAATGCCACAGGGCCCACAAAACCGAAGAGGCTAATGTAGCTAAGCCCCATACCGTAGCCGCTCTACTTCCTTCAGAGGAAGCTGTCTGTGTAGGTACCACCATCACCCGTGTCCTGGTCACAGTCCCAGTGACTACGACAACGTTGTTCGAGGGTCTGGTAAACTTCATCAGCAAAACCGGCTAGAGATCAGAACGAGCAGATATACCCATGCAGAGCTGACGAGTTTCTCATTGCCGCCGAGGCCTGCCTCAATTCATGCGTTGTCTCTCGGGTAATGATCGTTGTGGTGATGGTCTTGTAGGCCATTGCCTCTGTTGGTCGCGCATCGTTGGCAACGGGCCCTGGAGGAGGTTGATGGCCAACTGCACCTTGGGGAGCCGTTACCAGCGATCCTGGAAGGCTTCGTCCGAACAATCGCGTCGATAAACCGCGCGGGAGGAAGTCGAGATTGAACGCCGTGACGAAGAGGCACGCCAACAGACTGACGGCCAGTAGATTGCCTAGAAGACGGAGGAAAGACGGTAGGATCTTCATCCTGATGCTGTTGTCGTGAAAATAGATTTCAAGACGTCCGGTGTTTCCAACGCGTCTTGGAGCTGTGAGGATGACCTGGGGAGATCAACTCTCTGGCCAGCCACGGATGGGAGGACGAGATATGGGCTGGCTAATGTTATGAAGTCTGCCATACTCATGGAAGACATGCAGATGCACGTATGAGATATGAGCAGATCCATTCTCGAGTCCTCGACTATGTCATTCGAATAACGGTTCTCAACTGACAAGAATGAAATGGATCCGTCTGCGAGCGAGCAGACCTATCAGAGAAGGAGACATATAATGACGCCAAACAATTATGGCCTGGTGCATTCGATCGACTCGAGGCAATCCAACTCATGGAAGATGTGGTATGCGGAATGGAGATCGGAATGCGTTCGTGGTCTTCCGGCAGATAGTCAACAATCATCTAGTCCAGGTCCACTCACGACGTCTAGTCCCAATGGCGATCTCGAAAACGACCTCATCACTACTAGATTAAAAGCTCGGTCTTCTAGACTCTGTCAGAGAGATCTGTAATGATTGATTAGCTGTGTAGCCGACCCGGTATGGCTTCAAGCCAGCATTCCTCGGTGACACAAGCACGTTTTTGGCCGAAACAGCCAGCATATTGCAGAAGAAAGCATGAGTCTGAGAATCTATTTGCTGGTCTTATCTCCAAGAGCTCTGTCTCAGAGTAATTTCTGGCCATTCTTACTGGAGGTCCAAGATCATTCGCAACGATGACCGGAGTTGAATGTCGTCAATCAACCAGAATCTAGCATTTTCAAAAACATCTTGGACTCTGAGAAGGAACTCGGAAAATCACTCTCGTAGAATTCAACAAGCAACTATCTCTTCTGTTCCAGCGAGAGAGCACTTGCAGTCTTAGGTTGGTTGTAGTAGTAGTGGTAGATAGTTCCGCCCAATTCGGTATTGTAATTACACTGTCGGGGAAACGCCAAAAGACGCGTGATTCGCGTGGTACAGCGGCCTCCTCGAAAGTCAATCGAACAATGACGAAGCTCGGCTTCAACTTCTTCAATTACACGCTCTTTGGGCCATAGCGGAAAGAATCGTCTTATTTTCCATTGCCCAAAGGGAACACTTTGGAATATAAGAGATTTCCTCACACAATGGCCACCAACACAGCGGAGGACGTGTTTTTGCAACCCCCGAGGTCTGCTCTTCTCAATGCTCAGATGGATGAAGATGATGCTAACCGTCGCTTGATACAGCGACGAACAGTTCTCGCCTGTGTATCGCGAGACCTCCCACTACAACCCACTTCATACCTTCAAACTCCCCTCCGGCGATGCAAGACATTACCAGCAACAATATGGCGACATGTACTTCTTGCGACTCGCACGACTGAAACCTGTGGTGGAAGAGGTTGGAACGGACGCATGGGAAGGATTCAGTGTAAGACAGTCGCTTGGCACTTGCTCGTCATTTTCTGACCTTGTTGATGGGGTGATAGATTGCCGGAGAACGCGCTCGTCGTGTAGAGCGAGTGCTCGATGTCCGACAAGGCGAGCTTTGCTGGGTGGCTGGGACGGTCTACATGGACATGCCCCTGAAGCCGAATATTCTGGATGATCTTTCCAGAGAGGTCCGAACGTCCCCATCCGTCGTGTCTCCAGGCATCGCTGACACCTCCTAGAGTCACACCCTAGCCCCTCCGCCACGCCGCACTTACCAAGACCCCGCTCATCCGGAATTGACACAAATCATGTTGGAAGACGAGTCGGGCCGCCTGCGATTAACAGGGAATCTTCTGCGGTCAACTCAACTCGCGACAGGAGCCATTATAGCGGTACTGGGAACGGAGAATGCGAATGGTGATTTTGAAACGATCGATATCAGAGTGCCTGACCTGCCTCCTCAGCCGCGTCGGTGGGAGAGAGACGAAGACAAGACGGATACAACAGAGTCGCGCAAGGGCAAGATTGCTTTTGTGAGTGGTCTTGGGATTACGGGCACATCGAGTGATACTCTTGCGCTGGAACTTCTGACAGACTATCTTCTGGGGTATACAGGGTCGGATGCATCCTCAATCACACGGCTTATCATTGCCGGAAACTCACTAGGGGCTAATGTGACGGCTGAGGCAGCAGCGACTGGCGCAGAGACGGGAGCGGCAGCGAAGAAGAAGCTTGCCCCGAGAAAGTATGGATACGATGCCTCTGCATACAACGCATCGCCCATTACACAACTAGACAACTTCCTTGCGGAGATCCTGCCGAGCATACCTGTGACTCTCATGCCGGGGGAGAGTGACCCGGCGAACTTTGCACTCCCTCAGCAGGGGATCCACCGAGCGATGTTCCCACGAGCCAGAGCATACTGTGCTCCGCCTCCGTCGGGGGACGAAGCTCCCGAGCCGGGCTGGTTTGACAGCGTCACAAACCCGTGGGAAGGAGATGTCGAGGGATGGCGGCTGTGGGGAAGCAGTGGACAGAACGTGGACGATGTCCTCCGGTATCTGGATTTTGCGGACCGTGATGCGCTGGACGCCGGTGATGGGGACATCGAGGCCAGGATGAGAATCATGGAGGCCATGCTACGGTGGAGGTGTGGAGTTCCCACCGCACCTGATACAATATGTACGTTTCTCTGCCGCATATCTCGACCAAGTACTGACTATTCTGCAGGGTCCTATCCTTTCCAAACAAACGACCCCTTTGTAATGCAGTCCTGTCCGCACATCTTCTTCACTGGCAATCAGCCACGGTTCAAGACGGCCGTGCTGGAAGGCGACTCTCCCCTTAGGCTTAACGGAGCCGACACGGAGATGACCGACGCGGCCGATAATACTGGTGCGCGTGTGCGTCTGTTGTCGATTCCCAAGTTCAAGGAGACGGGGGAGTTGGTTCTCGTGGATAGCGAGACATTGGAGGTGGAGGTGGTCAAATTCGGTTCTTTTGCAGGAAAGCAAGAAAAGCAATAATACAACAGAAGACCTGATGACATCGATATGTGCGTCACCACGAATTCTGCAATGACTGTTCTCCGTTAGTTATGTTGTAGGCTATATTTGTACATCAACGCCAAGACCGGGCAAAGTCCTCATTTCCTCTACCGGAAATTCAATCTAGCCCCCCGATCAAAAAGCCAAACAGCTGCAGGCAGCAATAGACATAGACTTGACATTAATTCAAAACATAATAGGCATGCGCCTCAACGCAAAAACCGGTACGCACTACGCATCTTCAAACAACACCGCAAAAACCAACAACTAACAAGGACACAGCAATCTCCACCTCAAAGGTGCTTCTAGTCCCATACTCCAGCTGGCACGTCCCCCGCTACCACGAATGGATGAAAGATGAGGTAGACACTCACCCCATACCTAACCCAATTGATAAGATGATTAGAGGCCATGCTAATGTACTACAGGAAATCCAAGCCGCCACGGCCTCGGAACCACTTACCCTGGAAGAAGAGTACGCCATGCAGCGTAGCTGGCGGCAGGATGCTGATAAGTTGACTTTTATTATTTGTTTGCCTGTTCCTCGGGCTCGGTCTGAGCATCAGTCTCAGCATCAGACTGAAAGTCAAGAGCAGCTGCCTGAGTCAGGGCTACGGCTGCAGGACGGAGATGATGCTCCCGGGCAGATGCTCGGCGACATTAACCTCTTCCTCCGGGCTGAGGATGACGATGAAGACGAAGACGGCCCGTCATGTCCACAGATCATTGGGGAGATTGAGTTGATGATTGCCGAGAAGGCAAATCAGCGAAAGGGCTATGGGCGGGCCGCGTTGCTTGCGTTTCTGCGGTATGTGCTTGAGCATGAGGAAGACATAGTGGGGGAGTTTGTGCAAGGCACTGGTGCTGGTGCTGGTGCTACATTACAAGGCAGGACGGACTGGAGGTTCGGCGCGCTGAGTGTGAAGATTGGAAAGGACAATGGGCGCAGTCTGGCGCTGTTTGAGAGTGTTGGGTTCTGCAAGGTTAGCGAGGAGCCGAGCTATTTTGGGGAGTTTGAGTTGAGGAGGGTGCGCAGTGAGCTGTCGCTGGAGAGTGTCGATGAGGTGATGGCGAGCGCTGGTGTTGAGGGATATACTGAGGTGCTGTATGAGAGGACTGAATGATCCCATGATACCCCTTACGTACTATCTAGCTGTTCTGAAGCTGTTGATGTCCGTTTAGGTGCTGTCTCGACACTCGATCGTCTGCACTTCCATGTAGTATCTGACCACCATCCTGAATTGCATCCTGTACATCTAGCCAATTGATATCCAAATAGATACTCTATTGACTCAATGACCCCATTCAAAATATATATAGTATTTTTACCCTCGGCGACAGGTACCTACGTCATTAGATTAGGGCTTCCCAATCAGGATTAGCGCCTCTACCCCTCCGGTGTAAAAAGTATCACCATCGGAGTGAGACTGTCAACTATCAGGCAAAAGAAAAAAGAAGAGAAAAGAAAATGCCCATCCCGATAACAATCATAACGGGCTTCCTCGGCTCCGGCAAGACCACCCTCCTCCTCAACCTCATCCCCCAGCTCCCGGCAACCTACCGCCTCGCACTCCTCAAAAACGAATTCGGCGACGTAGCCATCGACTCGCAGCTCGCCTCGACGCAGTCCATCTCCGGCGTGCGCGAGCTGCTGAACGGATGCATCTGCTGCAACCTCGTGGGCCAGCTCAGCGACGCGCTGAACCAGCTGCGCGAGGAGGTCCAGCCGGACCGCATCGTCATCGAGACGAGCGGGAGCGCGTTCCCCGCGACGCTGGCGATGGAGGTAAACCGGCTTGCGCGCGAGCAGCCGGGCAGCTTTGTGCTGGACGGGGTCATCAGCGTGATTGATGTGGAGAATTGGGAGGGGTACGAGGATACGTCGTACACGGCGAAGCTGCAGGCCAAGTACACGGATCTGATCATCTTCAATAAGTGGGAGGGGGTGCCGGAGGAGCGGTTTGAGCTGTGCCTGGATCGCGTGGGCGATCTGGAGGTGCAGACGCCGTGGGTCAAGTCGGATAAGGGCCGCGTGGATAAGGAGGTTCTCCTGGGGATTGACGGGGCGTTGTTCGCCAAGGAGGATGCTGAGGATGCGTTGCGCTTGACGGATGACCATCACCAGCATCGGCATGACCACCAGTCTGAAGTCGAAGTGCTGTCCGTCACGCTCAAGGCCTGCCGGCCCGACCAGACTATCGATGTCGCCGCCCTCGAGATGATGCTGCTCGCCGCGCCCAAGGACGAGGTCTACCGGATCAAGGGGACCATGCGCTGTCCTGCCTCGCAACCGCCTGCCGACTCCGGGGATAACCCCGGCGAGAAGAAATCCGCGCCGCCTCCGACGTCCGGCAATGAAGCTGTCCGACATTACATTCTCAACTGGGCCTTTGGGCGCTGGACCTTTACGCCGTCGGAAATGGTGGCGGAGAGCGCGGACCCGGCTGTCGTTGCGCGTCTCACGCTTATTCTGGCCCGGTACGAGTCGGGCAAGTGGAAGAAGAAGCTGGAAGCTGGTGGGTTGATTCAGCTTAGTGAAGGTGCCGAGGACGAGTTAGTGGTCGAACGCCTGGTATAGATTACTTTTGTCTTCTTTCTGTACATGAACTGCAGTGGAGCTGGCTCCTTATGTTGTGGTCAAGAGACGATGCGGGCACGAATGTAGATAAAAAGATAGATATTTCATAGATATACAGATGACCCCATTTTCAGCATCGAAATGCACTCTATAGCGTCCAGGATTACCAAGAGAACCAAAGAATGACCAAAGCAGCTTAGCAGATCGATTAGACAATGTGACAAAGCCTAGTCTATCAAGCAAAAAGCAAATCAAAACTTTATGGGATTCCCCGTCCTCCCCATTATCTATCCCACAACAAACATAAATACAGACAGCAAATGAATACAGTCAACGCTTAAGCAAATACAAGAATGTCTCTAATACTCCAGGAGAGCAGTTGCACCGGCTTCGCTCGAGATGTAAATCACCTCGTGGTTGTCCGAGAAGCCGTTGAACCGGGTGGCGCTGCACTTGGTGTAAGCGCCCATCTCCTCAAAGTACAGCCAGTCACCGACGTCCAACAGACCAGGCAGCACAATGCGCTGGGTGATGACGTCGATACCATCACAGGTCGGACCCCAGATGGAATAGGCGATGCCCTCTGAAGTCGCAGCATTCAGAGCGGACGGCTGGGTCTCGCCGGAGCAGGTCAAGATCTTGGCCACGGGATGCTGGTGGTCGAAGATGATGTTGGAGAAATTGCCGTACACGCCGTCGTTCAGGTACAGCATGTAGGCATCGTTGGCCGGGTCCTCGGGGTCACGCACATCGCGGCGGGCAATGACATTGGCGGCCAGGGTGAAGGCGCTGGCGACGTAGTAGCGGCCAGGCTCGGCAATGACACGAATGTGAGGCGGGAAATACGTGTCAAGCGCCTCACTCAGGATGCCGGCAAACTTTTCAAAGGTGTCCTGGCAGAAGCCGCCCCCGACATCCAGGGTGTGGAGCTCGTGGCCCACCTCTGCAGCCTGGTCAAAGACCAGACGAGCATCCTGCACGGCCTTGAGGAACGCGCAGGGATCCTCGGCACCGGAGCCCACGTGGAAGCTCACTCCGACGACCTTGAGCTCGAGGTCGTGGGCAAGTTCAAGCAGCTGACGGGCGATGTCCAGGGAGGCGCCGAACTTCATGCTGAGCCGGCACAGACTGGTCGAGTCATCGGTCAGGATACGCAGGTAGAGCTCCGCGTCGGGGTAGCAGGCCTTGATCTTGTAGAGCTCGTCGGCATTATCAAAGGTCATTTGCTTGACGCCCACCTTGGCGGCATAGCGCAGATAGGACTTGGTCTTGCAGGGCTGCGCGTAAATGATGCGGCTGGGATCGATGCCAGTGTCGAGGGCCAGATCGATTTCCGCCTTGGAGGCACAGTCAAAACCGTTTCCAAGCTTAGCCATGAGACGGAGGATCTCCGGGTCGGGGTTGCACTTGACCGCTGGGGAATCGTTAGCTCGTTGGTCTCAAGCTCCAATGGTAAATAAACCTACCGTAAAAAGGCTTGACGCGACCCAAGTTCATTTTCCAGCGAAGATGCTGTCGGTAGATCTCCCCCATGTCGGCCACATAAAAGGCATCTTCTTCACCGGGGCCGCACCGGTCCACATCCACCTCGGCGGCGCGTTTCTTCAGGACATCCAAGACGAGGTTCTTGGCAGCCAACCTAGATTGCGAAAGGTCGTCCCCTCCATGATTGCTGAGTTGACTATGGTGATTAAAACTATAGTCGTTTTTGTCGTGACAATGTTTGGTCATGCATACTTCAGCAGGTACACAAGCAGTCGGTGCCATAACCATGCGCTGCGACGAAGCACGGAACAGGTCTTGAAAGGTGGTTTGAAATAGATAAATAAGTTTATGAGACAAGTGTCAAGAACGCGACTGCGTGTTAAGGAGGACGAAAAGATTCGCAACCGAGGTTGACTGGACCAAGCCTCCTAGACCCTTCCTCCTTAAGAGGAAGAACCTTCAGAGAAGTCCTATGCGGCAGCTCAAAGAGTGCGGGAATAAGTTGGAGGGGCGTCAAAGGGTTGTTAAAAAATGGCGCACCGGAGGAAACCGAGGGAGGGGTCAGCAGCAGGAGGTGGTGGAATGTTGTTAAGAGTGTCGCGGAGCCGTCGAGGCGAGACAATTTGACGAAAGGGCAAGGGAGAGGCTGCGAAAGCCGTGATGAGCTGGTGCCTTTGGAACTAACGAGTTTCCAAAGGCGTAGAGACGCGGTCTGAAAATTGGGTAGAGAAAACTTTGTCGCTCGGCGGACAAAGTAAGAGAACTTTTTTAAATCCCACAAATGAGATAAATCTGACAGAGAGGAGAGCTGCGGTCAGTACCCTTGCAGAAGAGGTGAGAAAACGACCGTAGGACGGAGGGGAAGGGAGAGGTGAGAGATTTTTATGGGCGAACGACGAGGCGCGTGCGGTCTTTTTTTTTTTTTGGCTCGTTCGGCGGCGGTGGAGGATGTGGTGTTTTAGGGCAAAGGGCACACGCCAGCGAAAGTGGGGGAAAGACGATATGGAATGCCAATATAGGCAGAGGCCAAATCAAGGAAATGAAGGGGCAGGGGATCAGACGAAATGCAACTTACCTCGAATGGCAATGGATAGGAAAGTGAGAAAGAGGGAGAGGGAAAAAGGAGAGGAAGAAGAAAGAAGGGAAAAGTTGGTGATGGAGGAGAACGCACCGACCGACGGAGAAGAGACAGACTGTGGGGAACAACGCTGAGTCGCTGTGCTGACACTTGACGAGTATTTTCCGGTGCCCCTCTATGACGAAGCTGAGGGATTTCTCACTACCTTATGAAGAGAGAGGTACCTGTAATTAATATCCGTCATTCTATTCGTCCTCCCCCAATTGACTCATCTTTGCTCTTTTCCAACCCAAAATTGCAGCCTGATTTCTCTTCTCTTCCCGCTCCTGGTCTCCTCCTGATCTGCAGGGGGCATCACAGTATTATTACTTACTGTACAGTATGATTCTGCAGCCTCGCATTGCATGTGCAGGTGCATCATTATACCCCTCCGAATCATCATCATCATCAGCTGTCCTCATTCTTATCCAGTCCGCTCTGGATTGGATGTTATATTTAGCTCAGTAGCTTGTTAATGATCCATACCAGAGCTACCAAAGTATCCAGCTATCTCCCTCAACCACTTCTGTTCATATATATCAAATTATTATACGTAAAACTTACCCTGTTGATGTTCTAGATACCGGAGCATAAATACAGTGTGCATGGTTGCTTACATCGCTACAGCTATCAACTAGCTAGAGAATAATGTCAACAATCAATGTGAATCCACCTGAACACAGGAAGGTCTCCTACGTCACCGAATAACTAGCAATGTTATTGATTCCCAACGGCCCGTAAAGGGAGAAGAGAGAGTTTCGAAAAGCTACTCCAGAAGGCAATGCATTATTCGCCTACTTTACTTAGCATATATACGCATCGGTAGTCTTAGGCATCACATTCGAAGTCGTCTCTCAAAACGAGTAAGACCAACACATCATGTCCGGGAAGGAGACTCAAGTGGCTATTATGCAAAACTAAATAGAGATACTCTTATTGTCAACATCATACAGAAATAATGATATACAAATCTGACGAAAAACAATTTCTCGAATCAAAGAGTAAGCTGCGCCAGGCAAACTGAATCCTCAATAAAGGGGTATATGCGCTCTTAATGAAAGAGAAGAAATAGGAGCCGGTGGCAGATGGCCCGACCACTCAAAGTATTACAAGTAGGTAGAAAGACTGAAAAGAAAAGAACCAAATGTCCTCATCACAACCAAAGCACCCACCGGATGCCAGAAATGGCTCCTCGAAAGATACATCGAAGGACCTTGAAGGCCATGACAATTAACCACACCCACCACAGCATCCCGACAAGAGCCCATTCGAGCATGACGAAGCCGGTGCGTCGGAGCCAACGCAAACGCCGATGACGCTTGCGGATGCCCTTGTCGAGTTTGTCGCTCAACTGTTTCACTGCAAGCGTACTGGTCGTGTTGAGTTCGACGCTGAGATTTTCGGCGTCTTCCGCCAGGGCTCGAACGCGCGGGGCAAGAGTCTGGTTGACCATGTCTTCCAGCTGTGCCAACTGCGTTCTCAAAGCGCCCGAGGCCTTAGGGAAACTCTCCACAGTTCGCCGAAACGAGTCATGAGACGTCTCTAATCGCCGGAGCAGTCCCTTGGCCGCCACATCAAATTCATAGAGGCGAATGATCTGGGGCACAGGGGAGTCGGGATAGGCTTTCTGTAGAAAGTCTGGCGGTGGACTGCGTATCGATTCGGCCCGGCGAGTGATTTCCCGCGCTTTGATACCCGATGTCAGAAGAAGCGCCTTTGTACGCTCGATTTCCCTTCGATCCGGGATACCAGAGTCCACCGCGGTCGAAATGCTGCGGTTGGAGATGCTCCATGTCCTTGACTGACCTGACGCACCACAACGATTGTCTTGAGGACGATCTGCAGCCGAGATATCTGCTTGCGCAAGCCCCGTAACCGGGGGACGGATCATGCTGAAAGGAACCGATGGATCTTTGATTTGACCATTCTTGATCTGGTTCCGGACCCCGTGGAACTCGGGCTCAAATCTTCGGCCATCACCAATTTTCGCCGCCAGCATGTGCGCATCCTTTTGTAGCATTGAAGCGCCGAGCCTCTTCGTCTGCGGCACTTGCGCATCATGCAATGGAGCATCTGAGCCCTGCTTCAAAGGACTATCCAGGGCCGAAGCTCTACGCTGTTCTTCTTGCTCGGCCCGTCGAGATGGAGTCGCCAAAGCCGCAGTTGATTGCAAAAGACTTTTCGCACTGCCACGCTCGGGAGGCTTGCGAGGAGTCCCATCCGAGAATGTTGGAAGTCGGCGTAGGAGGGCCTTGGGCCCGGATCTCTTTTCACCCTTCGCTTCCTCGCCCTCGTCCAATGCACTATCCTCGGAGGGAAGAGCTGTCTCCAACGACGAATTCCTTGAATGAGCCGGGTCGTCCTTCTTCATTATCAGGTCGCCCATTTTTGAAACCTCGTTGCCTACGATCTCTGCAATCTTTCCTGGCCCTTTAAAGATTCCGCGCAGCCGCGATTCAGGCTGAACTGATCCCTTGCGCGCATGCGTGTAGCTCCATGTCTTGTCAGCTTGGTACACCGGAGACACATCATCGGGAATTGGGCTTGGTTCAAGTCTGCCGGCTGGATGTGCGCCATCAGATATATGTTTTTGTAGATTATCGGCAGTATCCGCCGCAGAGATCAACTTGTCCTCAAGGATCTCCTTGGGGCGTGAGCGGCTTTTGCTTCGCGCATGGCGAGCAATGATTCCGTGAGCAATTTGTCGTTTGGATGGCGACGGTGAGCGACTTGAAGGAGGAGACAAGTTGGACGCAATGCTAGGGAAGTATCCAAGGGAAACAGGCGGAATGCCAGTAGAAGAAGGATCCTGACGACTTGCGGCGGATGACAACGAGCCGCTTCGCTCGTCCAATTTGGCCCACGTTGGTTGAGTACTCGAGGTCTGAGACGGCAGCAGTCCTGTATCGAGGCCATGTTCTTCTTCTGGCGCAGTGGTAGGGGAGTTCACTCGTGAGATCCGAGCTCGAGTAAGTTTTGATGCGGCAGATCGACCTATATTGTCCGCATGACGATACCAGGAGTGTCTTTCACCAGTGGTGGAGACACTCGAAGAGCTACTTGACCGTAATCCCAGGTTGCGCTCCTTGGTGCCTATGCCGGTCAGTGAAGTACCTCTGCTGTGGAAACCATGTGCAGGACTATGATATCTGTGCCGTCGCCTTCCACGATTGACGCTCCTGAACTCGGGTCCCAATGCAGGATGGGCATTTGAGAAAGGCGTATCAGAATCCGGGTGTTGTGCGCCCGCAGACGGCGGCTTGGCTGGCATATGCGTCTGGGCAGAGCTAGGTGGCATGTCACCAGAAGGGTGTAACTCTGCTGGGTCCGGAAACAGGAGATTTCCGTCTTTGTCCACCATCTTGCTCTTATTCTGGCCTTCTTCAACCCAGGCGGCATCAGCCAGAAGCTCAGCCGGGGAGATAGTCCAGTCGAATCTTGGCCTGCGAGCTGCTTTGGTGCTGCTAGTGCGGCTGACGCGTCTTAAGCTGGAAGGAGGAGACGCTGCAAACAAATCTGGATCATCGGGTTCTTCTCGTGGCGGATCCTTCTCGCCTCGTTCAAACGGCGGCAGCTTTAGACATTCAGAAGGCTGGTGTCTTTTGTTGCCATAGTGAGATTGAACCGAGTTCACCCATTCACGCACCCTAGCGACGTCATACCAACCTTCCGACTCTGGATCAATCGGACGTCTCTCACGAAAACGAACTTTTCGGTTCCGAATGGCCTGGAGGGGATTGTAGTCTCGCGACTGAGGAAGGCTACCCTTTGAAGCTGATGAGGCGTCTGTGGCATCTTGCGTGCCATGATGTCTCAGTGGCGGGAGCGAAGGGAGTAGACACAAATAGAGATGAAATAGCTCAAAATGACGCCTGGCTTTATCGGCCCGAGCTAGCGTACTCGTTGAGAATGCCTGAGGCAAGGTCTCTCCTCCAGCAGCATTAGGTAGCAGATCCAGTACGGATGAAGGATTCAGGGCTGATTCACCAGGCGGTGGCGTGGCGTGGTCGCTGATCCCCGTATGAGTATAATCGCGATGCGTATGAAGAGTCGGATATCCACGGCCGGCGCTCGTAGTCAACGTGGTACTATCAGTATAGGGGACCGACGTCCCAGCCCCTGGGAGGCGAGTCGAGACGGACCGACCGAGGTTATTTCTCCTCCGGGACTCACTCAAGTTCAGAGCCAGATTAACAATCTGAAGTGAATCCCTGTCCAAACCTGGCGCAGCCTCATTATTGTCCGTGCTAGCTGGCGGCGGCTCCGACGTTGGAGGTTGCTGTGCGGACGATGGACCAGGCGTTTCCGTCCCTGCGGGCTCCTGAGGACCAGCAATCACCGACGGCCCTTCCAGCGACTCTCTATGACGACTCCAGGGGAACCGCGACCTCTTCTTCGGTGTTGCAATATCACTCTCGGGAGCGCCACGCTTCTCGTTGCGATGCGATTCCGAACGCCGCGGCCGATGAGAGCCGGTCCGTATGCTCTTTGACTTGGATAGAAACGATGAATCGACGAGAAATGAGCTCGAACTGGCTGTCCGTCGTTGACTGCGTCTGGCCCTGTCTCCATCGCGCGAGCTGCTGCCGAGCGTGCTGCCCTCCAGCTCGCCGCTTCCTCGTCCCTCGGTCATTCGTGTGAAACTCCGCCGATAGAAATCGCCATTAGATTCGAGTTAGGAAGCAGGTTTCGATGCCAAGTTATCACTATGTGTCAAAATAGATATTAACACTGAAAACAGCGATTCAACGGAATCACCGGATTGTTCAACATCAACGAGAGAACATCCGGGTCACTCCCGCGGAGTGAGTAAGGAGGTGTGTGTTACGTGGTGGAGAAGTCATGGAATTATTGAAAGAAAACACCGCAAATGCCGACTTCAACCTTTGCTCAACCTCAAGGACATAGCGGCAAGATAGAATAAAGTGCCATATTCCGTCACAACTTTCAGATGCAAGACATTCGAGTTGACATTCAGTCGATCAGCCATGCGCGTCAACGGCTTGGAGCTGCACGTGGATATACAAACAGAACAAACATTATATATAGATCCACGATCCATAAAGACAACGTCAACGAAGGGAACCCTGTAAGCATGGATCGAAAAATCTAGACAAATGGAATATCTAGATTGATTCTAATAACGTAGAAGTGCCACTAAAGGTACAAGTCTTCCATAGACTACAGGAACATATACGCGAAACAGAAAGAAATCGCTAGTCTTTTATCTATTCAACTCTCAAGCACTGGAGGCGTGCCTCTGTCTCGATAACCTGCAAAGTACTTATGTCAGCCCATCTGTATAAATAATCAATAAAGTGAAAGGCCATAATCTTACCTCCAGAGCCTGTTTTACCTCCAACACCCGACGCACGTCACTCAACCAGTCCTTGCTCAGAATCTTGGCCCATCCCTTGAGGGTGTTCATCTCACGAGCAGCGTCGTCGAGGTTACCTTCCTCCAACAAATGCTCAGTGCGAAGGAGTACACTTTCGACGTCGTCGCTGCCCGCGACCGCGTCTTTCTTGAACATGACCTTGCTCAGGACAAGACTGGCCGCGTGGCTGGCGATGCCAGCATCTTCGGGCAGAAGGCTTGCCTTGCGGACTTCATCGGCCACCCGACGGAAGCGCTCAATGATCTGAGACGTCGAAGGAATACCACGCTGATAAGCAGTTGGGTTGATCGACGCAATAGCAGCCTCAACAACCGGGTCACCGGCAGCCAGCTCTTTCACAGCAACAAGTTCACGGACAAAAGGCCGGGGGACGGTAGAGCGCTCGAGGACGGAGCGGACGGCATCCACAGCAACCTGGAGCTGCTGGGTCTTGAGGTTGGTATCAATCACTTCCTTCCAGTCGGTAGTAAGCTTCTCAAGCAGGTTTACATTGGCGGTCAACTCGTTCAGCTTGCTTAGACGACCTTCACGTTCCCGCTCAACCAGATCCTTCACCTCGTGAAGGTACTTGCGGTTAAGCTCGATGGCCTGCTCAACCAGCTCATTCTTGAGGCGCTGCTCAGCCACTTCTTGAGCCCTCTGCAGTTCCGTGTTGACCTTCTCCTGGTAAGCACGGGCGAGTCTCTCGCGCTCAATCTCAAACTCCTCCCGATACTGAGCAGCGTCATGAGCACGTGCCTCTTCAAAGCGACGAATCAGCTCTCGTGCAGACTCATCGAAAGTCGCATGGGCTTGCTTGATCTCCTCCTGGGCAGCATTTCGCGCTTCATTGCGGATGGCGATGATCTTCTCGCCAATAGTTCGAAGCTCCTCTTTTGCCTTATTGACAGCACCAGAGAACTTGTGCGCGTTCTCGTCAGCGCCAATGACAGTGATAATATCGTTGAAAGTCTTGACCAGTTCCTGCACGACCTCTTCATCGCCCTCACTGACAGTTGCAAATTCAATGGGCGTCACTGCTGGGGCCGTGGGCTTCTTGGATTCCTCCTGCACCTTTTTCGTATCCTCAGAGCTCTGTTCCTTGGCAGCAGACTCGGCCTTGGCCTTCTCGACAGCGGCGACCTTCTCCTCAGGCTTAGCGGCGCCAGGCTTGAGTTGCGCTTTGTCGCCATTATCGAGTGCGCTCATATGAGGGCCCTTCTGTGACACATCAGCTCCAGATTCCTCCTCTGCAACCTTCCAGGAAAGCCCGCTCTTGCTCGGAATTGTGACCGTGTGGCCCTCATCCTTGGGGGCGCGGTTCTGGTTTCTCAACGTGTTGGGGAAGCGGCGGTAGAAGTCACGTTCCTCAAAGTACAAAACACAGTCCTCGCCATAAGGAACGTATTCCGTGAAGAAGTCGTGGAAGTTGTCAGACTTGAGCGCCAGAAAGATACCGCCACCGTAGGCGAATCCAGACGTCAGAATCAAGTAGAGAAGGAATCTTCGAAAGCGCCCGGTCTTACGGGTAGGAGCAGGGGGAGGCGGGGGAGGAAGAGGAGCCTCAGCAGCTGCACTAATTAGCCCTTGGAACCATCAATGACTTCAATGGACAACGGGAGTCGAACCTGGTGATGGCTTGGGGAGGGTCTCTGGAGGAATAGGTGATTCGGAAGAAGGGGAGGCGGGAGTAGGTGCACCGGTGACGGGAGGTTTGGCATCAGCAAAGAATCTCTGTATAAGATGCCATTGATATTAGCACGTATCCCCGAACACAGTCAGGAAGGTAGGTTGTCGTCATACCTGGCCGGCAAAGCGATTGCTTGCTCCAGCTTTCGGCAGCCATTGCGCAGCTGTCCGTGAACGAGCTGGAGACAGGAGCAACCGTCGGCTCTGTGCAAAAGAAGAGCGCAGCATGGCGGGCCGCACAACAGAAAGGAAGACGCTGAAGGCGGGTAGAGAAGAGGGGGTTGATGTTGGCAAGAGGGAAAACGCGGACCGGAATTGGGATGATGCTTTTACGATCCGCTCCGACAGCCCTGCACAGCCATATCCAAGTGGCTTAGTTTTGGAGGTCGCACCGCCCAAATTCTGCCACCAACTAGTGATGCAACCATTTTGCGTTTTGAACTGAGTGTCTACATCTGGGAACAATATTTTCTTATTTCGTAATTACTGCTCCGTTGGAAATATACCTTCTCATGGAGCATTGGAAGGGTACAAGCTGCGCGTTTTGTCTTTCAACGTTAATGCGAAACCAAGCACACAGTGATCAACTCAAGTGTCAATCTTCGAACAAGGCGTTGAAATGAGAATTATATAAGCATAGCACACTAATGTAACCTGGATTGAATAAAGACAAGCGAAGAGTGACAAGTGCAGAACCAGATTTAGCCCATCAGAGAATGCAGACGCCGGATTCAAACCAGAAACAGCTAAAGACAAGATAAGGCGACATAGCGGAGGTACAGCCCTATCGCAAAGGATCTAGAAAGCCAAATCCCAGATTGACTCTGCCACGAAGTGCGGATTCCGCAGCCGAGGACGGTGAATGATTCCCCGGGGTCGAGAAGACAGAGGCAGGAGCGCAAAGTATTGTTCATTCCATCTGAAACTATTTCTCAGTCACTGAAACACCATTAAAACATATTGCGAAGCAAGGCCGGCATCACTTGGTCAAACTTAAGACAGGAAGATGCGGACCTCTCATATCTAGGCACAAGAAGTTGAAGCGGGAAAATAATCTGGATCCCGGTAGGGGGAATTTGAGGAGGATGGCAGAGATTTTGGCAATTAACAGTTGCAAGCTCCCGCGCCCTGCGTGCCAGGTGCTTCCGGTCGCAAGTCCACACCGGGACGAGGAGTGGTGCGCAGATTGCGCGGGCCCGCCTGATCGAGAGGGAGTTTCTTGGCGATTGCGGCAAATAGTTCCTTCACATTTGTCGAAGTCTTCGCAGATGTTTCGAAGAAAAGAAGTCCGGCTTCACGCGCATAGGCTTCGGCATCAGCAGTCGGAATGGCTCTCTTGTCGGGATGCTCCGTAACTAAATCCAGCTTATTGCCAGCGAGGGCAATAACAATATTCTCATTCGCCTGTCGCTGCAGCTCCTTCACCCATGACTTTGCCTTGTCCAGCGATGACTGTTTGCAAATTGCCCGAGTTAGTTTTTTACAAAGTAGCCTAATAGCAGAGAAGGTGATCGGGGCGCATACAGCCTGAGTGATATCGTAGACAACAACAGCACAGTTCGCATTCCTGTAGTACATTGGGGCCAAGGACTTGTATCTTTCCTGGCCAGCGGTATCCCATATCTCAAACTTGACCGTTGTGCTTTCGTCCAGCGAAATGGTCTGTGTTAGGAAGGCAGCGCCGATCGTCGACTCTCGGTAGTCATCGAATTGATCCTATGATATCCGTTAAAATCTAGGCTGTCTTTATGAACCAACAGGCACCAGGAGAAGAAGGCTAAAGCTCACTTTGACAAATCTTAGCACTAATGAACTCTGGAGGATAAGATGTCAGCGACCGACAGAACATCATTAGTTGGCTATATAAAGAGCTCTAACCTTTCCAACAGCAGATTCACCTACAAACCAAATAGACGTCAGTAACATAACTCGAACAAATGCAGCGAGAAAGAATGAAAGGGTAAGCTAACCAAGCAAGACAAGCTTGAACTGGGCGAATCTAGCACCCGGGCGGGTTCCTGCTGGCGCTCTGGAGGCCATAATGACTGATTTTGGAGAAGCACAGTTTCAGGGTGTATCTTAGAATTCGAGCGCCGAGATCTCTGAGGGTTAAAGTGGTATAAGAATGAGGCAAGAACGTTCTGAGGGATGGTTTGAGAGTGATGAAGGCGGGATCGGGATACCGGGGAGGTTTGATGGCGGGCTGCTGGTAAGGTAAGGTTACTACTGTAGTCTTGTCTGTAGCAGTCTGGTAGAAGCAGATGACGAAGGGGGTCAGCCACAACTGGCTTTTCAGGGCCTAAGGCAACTGAATAACCTGCGGGGCGGTGTGGCGCTCCCAAGAAGAAGGTAATATTGTTGGTCCTACGTACCTGTAGTCCCTAGGTAGTAATAATAATAATAATAGAACTTGCGACCTCTGATTTCGCAGTACGTAGTACTAAGGTAGTAAGATACCTTGCCTCTCTTGCGTCTTGCCTAGGTACCTCAGGGTCGAGGGTGGGCCTTATCACTTCCTTTGGGATGGACGGAGCGCCAACGGTACCTTACTTTATCAACCACATGCT